TGGTGTGAGAAAGTTAGTGGACATTGTAAAAATGGTATCTCACTTTTCCAGGAGAAACTGTTGGATAAAATGTCTGATCTACCAGATATATACTTGCTTTGTGGGGGTGATTTTAATGCTCGGACAGCTACGCTTCCCGACTTTGTTGATGATGACATAATATATCATACGGAAAGTAAAGATCATTCCATGTGGGATTTCATATTGGATCATTTTAACCTGGAACGGTTCTCCTGTGACAAAGTCGTCAACCATTTCGGTAGATGCCTCTTAGATTTATGTAGCATTTTAAACATACATATTGTGAATGGCAGATGTGGTAAAGATTTTACATTTATAGGTACAAATGGCACAAGCGTCATAGACTATGTCTTAGCTTCTACACATTTATTTGACAAAGTGCTAGATTTTGCTATACCTACTAAAGCAGATTCCTCTCACCTCCCGTTAACCTTAGATTTACGTGCGCATCACCCACCAGTACAGCCAAAGACTATGAGTGGTAAATATAAATCTGATCATGAAGCATACAAATTTGTTTGGAATAGCAAGATGTTGTCGCAATTCAGAAATAATCTACTATCGGCTGATATACAAGACTTATTTGATAAATCTGTTGATGTAGCATTCACTGATATAAGTCAGTGTGTAGATTTGGTCGTAGAAGCATTGTGTCTAGCTGCTTTTGATATGAAAAGACGGATACGCCCCTTTTCAGAGAAACATAATACGAATATCTGGTATGATGAAGAATGTAATCATTTAAAAAAGAACGGTGTAAATTTCTTAACTCCTTCCGAAAAGATAAAACCTTGCAATCCCTGGAGAGATATCACAAAGCTAGAAACAGATATAATACAACCTGCAAGGAAAAGAGAAAGGCATTTATGGAACAGAAAAGAAAAAACCTAGAAAATAATATAAATGATGCCAAAAAATTCTGGTATGAACTTAAAACACTAAATCCTAAGAAAAGCCAAAATAATAACATTGAAATCGACGAATGGTTCAATTACTTTCAGTCATTATTCTCTACCTCTGATAACAACCCAGATCCAAATAGACAAGACTATGTGAACGATACTGAATCTACTCATATTACAGGTGTAGCCCCCGACATATTGGATGCCCCAATAAGTAGAGATGAAATACTTAACAGTATACAACAACTAAAGTGTAATAAGTCACCAGGATTAGACAACATCCTCCCAGAATTTTTCAAACATTCATCTGATCTTTTACTTCCATATCTTGAGCTTATTTTCAATATTATCCTCGACACTGGGAACTTTCCTGAATCTTGGTCAGTTGGCATTCTTGTTCCAGTCTATAAACAGGGTGACCCTAAAGATACCAATAACTACCGTAGAATAACTGTACTTAGTATATTTGGCAAGTTATTTACTTACATTATCAACAAAAGATTAGTTAAATGGACTGACGTCATGGATCAATTATACGAGAGTCAAGCGGGCTTTAGGGAGGGATATACAACAACAGATAATATCTTTATACTGTATAGCCTAATACAAAGATACCTCAGCTCAAAAGGTGGAAAGTTCTACGCACTATTCGTTGATTTTGCAAAGGCTTTCGCACGGTCTTAGTAGTAAAATGAATAAAATGTTGAAGAGTATATACGAAAATGTTAAAGTGTGTGTAAGGAATCAGCATGAATTATCTGAACCTTTCATTAGTGAACTAGGTGTTAGACAAGGCTGTATTTTAAGCCCTTTCCTTTTTACGTTTTTCATTAATGAATTAGCAATACAAATATGTGACACATGTACGAATGGGATTCAACTACACCCAGATACAATACAACTATTTCTGCTACTCTTTGCCGATGATATTGTACTATTCTCTAGTACTGTTAGCGGTTTACAGAAACAAATAGATGAATTAGACAAATTTTCTGACCAATATAAATTGTGTGTAAACAGAGACAAAACAAAAATTATCGTCTTTAAGAAAGGTGGAAAGCTATCTAAATTAGAAAAATCGTATTATAAAGGGCAACAACTCAAAACTATCAGTGTTTATAAGTATCTTGGTGTATATTTTTGTAATAGCCTTTCCTGGTCCAAACACACAAAACAAGCGTCAGCACAAGCCTTGAAAATCCTAATCGGTGTTTGTAAAAATATGAGACCGTTGGGTGAAATGTCCTTTAACACATTCTTTAAAATATTCGATATGAAGATAAGTCCAATACTTCTATATGGCTCTGAAATATGGGGATTACAACAATATGACAGTATTGAAAGAGTTCATTTATATGCATGCAAAAAGTTTCTTGGTGTAAAACCGAACACATGTAATAGGATGGTTTACGGAGAATTAGGTAGATTCCCCTTGTTTATGTACTCTTCCATTAAAGCCATAAAGTATTGAGTAAGATTACTGCATATGCCATGCCATAGGTTTCCGAAAAAATGTTATGATATGATGAAATTGTATGACGAAAATGGGAAAAGGAATTGGGTGAGTGATATTAGGGAGTTGTTGTACAAAACTGGTTATGGTTATGTGTGGTGTGATCACAATGTTCAGTTGCATACCAATTTTATCATATCATTTACACAAAGAATGAAAGATATCTATTTCCAGTCTTGGTCGGAATCACTACTTCTATCCACAAAATGTTTATACTATAACCAATGGAAATCGGACATACGTTTTGAAGACTATTTAGCAAAAATCGGCGTAAAGAAGTTCCGTATAGCTCTCTCTCGTTTTCGTTGCTCTTCCCATGAATTATTTATTGAAACTGGCAGGTATGCAGGTATACAAAGAGAAAACAGAATATGCCAGTTATGTAATATGAGTAGTGTTGAGGATGAACTACATTTTCTTCTAATCTGTCCTGTTTATACGACTCTACGAACAAAATACCTAAAGCCATACTATTATAAGCATCCGAGTGTAAGAACATTAATTTCACTATTAATAGATACTACCACATCAATATTACAGAATCTGTCAATGTACATCTATTTCGCTATGAGATTAAGAAAAGGTATTGTTACAGAAGAGAATTTATAAATGATTTCTATCTACTCATGTAAAATCTAAATGTACTACAGGCCTGTGGCCTTTTTTCAGTACTGAAATAAAGATTGATTGATTGATTGAATACTAATACAGTTTCATTAAAACAACCGAAACAAAAGAAAACAAAAAAAACCCTCCATGAATAATAACTTAAGCTAATCTTAGAACAACGAGGAGTAAAAGAAAAGCACGTCCAAATTCTTTTATAACAGCTACAAGAAGATTGTAGAATAAGCTACCTGGAAGCTTAAAGGGACAGAATCTATGTTTACGAAATTTAAGAACTTGCTAAGTTGAAGGGGGACATAATAGGATATAATCGGATGTAGATTATGGAAACAATGGCCAATTAATCAGAATCGCCTCAGGCATGGCAGCATCGATCTTAAAGCAAATTAGTACAGTAGACATATTTAGGATACGGAAATTTGATAGTGTGGATATCATAACGAAGCTGTTTTACATGCTTTTGTTATGAGTACGATTTACTGTAGTCTTTAAAATTAAATGTTTTTTTTCGATATTTTGTATGCTTTACACAGAAATTCATTTTCATTTATGAACATTAGATTCAACTAAGCTGACGTACAAAAGAAAGTACACACCTGGTGCTTTTGGATTACTTTCCAAAAAGCGACGTAAATGTTTTGAAAAGAGTTTTTACAGTGATATATAAGTCACAGACTTTCCGGATATCAGGGAGAATAGATTACCCCATCTAATATGTTGCCAAAACACCACAGATATGGTGCCCAATTGCGAAGTTGCCAGTCAAAATCACAACACTTTTCAAATAATCCCAAAACACCAGGTGTCTACTTTCTTTTGCACGTCAGTATATTAGGTCCTGCTTGCAATTTCATATTTAAAAACAAACAAAGAAACTGCAGATTTTCAGTTCATTACTTTGGTTTGACCGATTAGGTCTAACGTATATTTGTCGTATGAACAGCCATAGATCGTATAACATAGACTTGCATAAGTCTATAAGGTAATAATTAAAAGTTTAAATGATAATTTCTGAAAAATGTAAATATTCCTCTAACATACTGGCGTACTTTGTGCTATCTGCATATCTTGACTTGCCTCTTTAAAGGTTAGAATATACTATACATTCATGGGCTCAGCATTCAAACTGCCTTGGAGCAAGGGTAAATTCTGCTCCGCTTGGCAGTCCCTGAACAAGTCTGTCGTACAGACCCTGAAACAAATGTACCTAAGGTAGCCCATGCAAGTCTAGAATATGTTGCAAGTCTAAAGTCTCAGGCTCCTTTTCATTGCATTTTATCATTTTTTTATATTATAAACATTTCTGTAAAATATGTTCATTTCAGAGACTACTTGTTAGTCTATACTAGTCCAGCATATAACTAGACGACTTTGCACTATACCAAGGTCTATGTAGGCCTTGGTTGGAATACGAGTTTATTCATATGAACTATGTAGGCCTTGGTTGGAATACGAGTTTATTCATATGAACTAAGTCTATCCCTGAACATATTAACTTCCTTTTTAGCGCAACACTGCTTGTACTAAAAATTTTCCAAATAAATCAAGTCTAGGTTGCCCTTGATTTTGTGAATCTCCCATCTTACCTGGGCTCGTTTTGAGACGTATTTCTACCTCTCAGTTTTATGTTGGTAGAGTAGATTACCGTCAGCCTATACATTTGCAACATTGTACAAAGCGCAGCCAATTTTCATTCATTACTTATTTGTGAATGTTTTGTGCGCCTATATCATGATCTATTGTCCAGTTCAACACTGGTGAACATATGTATCATATCTCGAATTTGTATTGATATAGTGATAAATAAATAACCGAAGGTCGAGGAAGTTAGGTTAAGTCGTTATTGTGTTGGAGAGGGCTCGAAGGAGGATATCAACAAAGCTTCGCACACCGCGCTTAGTGTGAGCGAAAATATAAACGCTGAGTGGAGCTTGCAAGCGCGGATGAAGAGGGGTGGGGCGTTCATCCCTGTGTCGTTGTGCATCGTTGACGAAGAACAACATAATGAGGCGTTTGCAAGCTGAAGAGCACTCCTTGATGGTCAAATATTGAAAGACAGGCCTCAAGGTAACGTGTGTAAGTGTCTGTCATTTTGCCACTGATCCTATCAGGCGTACCGAAGACAATGGGCACAAGTGATAGTGAACTGTTTGTGGGTTGGTTCGTGGAGCGAGTAAAGCACGTTAAGCCTCATTCCTTGGTAGACTAGAGTCCAGCCACATGCAACTAATTAACGAGCGACGAAATTGACATATATATGAGACTAGCTGTCTCAGTTAGTCCATCAAACTCAAAGAAGATAGAGAGAGAGAGAGAGAGAGAGAGAGAGAGAGAGAGTATATGTGATTTTGACACTAGCATGGCATTAAGGATTTGCTTGGTAATAACCAAGGTTATATTAAATTTTAGATATGGTTTAACTGAAAATTCTGCATATCTGAAACATAATTTAACCATGGTCGTTATACAATAGGTTGATACATCATGTAAATACTTAAGTTTCATTTGCACATTGCAATTGGACACATAAATAGATCAGTTAATAATCAGTGTATTCGTGTGTTGGATTGTTGCAATCCTAAAGTTTTCAAGGTCAAACACACAGGTTTGTAGTGCATAGTGATGAATTGTCTTCTAATATTATGTTCCTTGGGAATTCTGGTCCCTATCAAGTGATCTGTATTGGAACAGTCTGATTCAGATCCACATGAGCATATTGGTCCTGGTAATTCCTTCCTAGAAATATTGTAGTTGAAATGTATGCTAGCAGGCTTACTGTATTAGAATACATGGTTTGGTCTGATTGAACATCATCCTCGATAGTCTCCAGGGTATACGTTACGATCACTCTCCACTATACCCTGGATGCATCCACGGCTTGGCCCGATGATTTTATTACCTCCCTTGGCTGGCTTTTTATCCAATCAGGTGTCTACACTGGGAAGTTGAGCGAACCAATCAAAACTCACTTTCGCTTCTTAAATTACCCAACCGTTTAAACTTAGCAACACAGTTGATGCAGAGGTACTCTGAAAGAGGTAGGAGTTCAGATCTGTCAATTTGTCTGTATGATTTCCCCCAAACTCTGAGTGGCACTGCAAACAAACCTTCGCTGCTGTGACCGCTATCTTTGTTGAAACTGACAAGCTCGGATGTAACGGCGGCCTAGCTGATTGTCTACTGTGAGAATGCGGAGCCAGCAAAGGGAGGTAATATAATTATCGGGCCAAGCCGTGGATGCATCCAGGGTATAGTGGAGAGCGATCGTAACGTATACCCTGGAGATTATCGAGGATGATTGAACGTGTGATTTCAAATTTATTTATTATACTGTGCAGATTTGTCTCCCTTAGTTCACATCAGAAACCTGTCATCAGGCTTGAATACCTGTTTTCCCTGATTAGGTTTCGGGAGTCGTCAGCACCATAGTGGTAAACTTTAATGACATGGTTTGCTGTGGGCTTTCCTGAAACATCAGACAAGCACATAGTTATGTGACTGTTATACTCTTGAATAAGCCACTCACTCACTCACTCACTCAGAAACACAGTGCAACTGATAGATATATCAACTATAGTGGAATATAATAATTCTTTCTTCTTTTCAGCTCTGCCTTTGGTAATGGAAACAATGGCACTCTTCAAAGCAAAACTGTTGAATAAAGGTGAGACGACCATTGCCCACCCATCTTAATATGTTTGTAGGTCAGAGAGTTTTGTGCTCGTTTGAGTCAGTGAGTGAGTTGGGTTTTACGCCTCTTTAGGCAATATTCCAGCAGTATAACGGTGGGGGACACCTGAAATGGGCTTCACACACTGTACCCATGTGGGGAATCAAACCCGGGTTTTCGGTGTGACGAGCCAACGCTTTACCCACTTGGCTCCCCCACCGCCTCGAATGAACAGTGAAAGAACAAGGAAAGAGTACCTGTCCACTGACTGGATTTAGAAAAGACCACCGGACGTGTATTGGTACTAAGAAAGAAGTTTAGAGTTGAAGCCCGAAACAGGTCACAGATCCAAACATATACCTTTTTATTTTACAAGCTGGTCAACGACCATCTCAATGTGGTATCTGCCTCATCGCCATATCTGCTCAAGATGTAACTAAGAGGTTGAGTGGTCAGACTCACTGACTTGGCAAACACTTATGATTGAATCCTTTCCAGATGTATGTTCATGTTATCAATCTCGTGATTGTCTGGTTTTGACTCAATTAAATCACTCATGTAACTGGAATATTGTTAAGTGTGGTATGGAATGATAAACAGTCAGTTTATGAATCTACTAGACCAGCCTGTAGGTCAGAAAAGAGTTACACCATCAGTGTGAGTGAGTGAGTTTAGTTTTATGCAATATTCCAGCTATATGACGGCGGTCTCTAAATAATCAAGTCTGGACCAGACAGTCCAGTGATCAGTGAAATCTTCAGAACCTACTGGAAAATATCTGACATCTTCACAATAATGAAATAATGACTTTCAACAATTGTATGTTAAGGCTCTGTAACAGCACTAAATGCTTAAGCATGGCTGAAATGACTCAAAAAGTCATATTTTTGTGAATATGGTCAATCTTTGATTTGCTTTTCCTGTATGAATATATTTGTTATTACCATATTTATGTAGTTGATAATGCCGTTGATAAAAGAAAGTTAGGTGATTTTTTTCAATTTTACAAAGAAAGCCATGATTACCATATCACTGAATAAGTTTGAAAAATGCATTGAAATATGGCTTGTATTGAATAATATATTACGACGGGTATGGTAATAGATGATTGCTTTATGCTTGATGTGTGATGTTGCTGGAATATTGCTGAAAGCGGCATAAAACCACATTCACTCACTCACTCACCCACTTGATGTGTGATGTTGCTGCAATATTGCTGAAAGCGGCATAAAACCAGATTCACTCACTCACTGACTTGATGTGTGTTATCTTGCAGTGTACAAGACCGGATGGATGAAATGCTTGTTTGTGGCGGTAGTCGTCCTGATAATATTCCTCTTGCTGCCAAGGAAAGGTACCGGTATGTAATTATCAGATAATTCATTGCATTGCTTTTCCGACAAATATATGCTATGACTGTATTCTGATGCATGGATCTGTCAGAGCTACAGATTACTTTTTGGGTCATTGAGTTACGTACTTGCTTGTGTTCATCTCAATTGGGTATCCTAATTTTCCTTTGACTAACCAAACAAATTGTACCCACCTTACGCAAACTCAATTGGGTATTTTGCCATTAATTGCAAAAATATAATAAAATTTAAATGTTGGTTTACGTATTTGTTTTTTATATTGATCTGTAAAAAGAGAAACGATAAAAAAGACTGCAAGTTACCAAGTTCATGTGCTGAGCCAATAGAAGCTCTCAGTATACCTCAGTTATTTTATCTATCCATCGGGACACAATCTATGATTTGACATTTTTGTGTGTACGCATGTCAAATTTATTGAGTATTTTCTAACATTCAAGCATACTTGTATGCAATAAACTTAACAGGAATTGAGTTTTCACATAAATATTTGCGTAATTTACGTAGATATGCAGCTTATCTGTTCCTCTGATCTGTGCAGGGAGCTAATGCTTTTTATAGTGATTGACACTGATTGTACATGTAGATCCTGTTTTCTACAAACCAAAGTCAGCAAAATGATGTCAAGGTCACCGCCGTGTTGTAGTCATGGATACAGAGTAGATAATGCGAGAGAAAATTTGTTAATGAATTTCCAAGAGAATCATTATGCGTGAATGATTTATGCAGATTTTAGGCGAATTGATGCCAATTATTAAGAAACTGGTTATATATTTTTTACCTATGTTAAAAACCACAGGAAAGCATTTTGCACTTTCTATTTGGCAAAGAATATTGCTATATAATGAATCTTTCAAACAAAGGATCTCCCACTCAATGACGATCTTGAAAAGTAAATGGCTTTTAGAGGGACTAGAAAAGGGGAAGTACTTTTAACAAACTAAGACAATTTCTTTGATCTTTACAGATGTCAAGACCCGGGGGTCTGCCCGTGATTCTTGGGGCTCTGCACACAAGGTTAAAGGTAAATTTCATGGATGTTTTATCACAAAATGTCATGCCAGTTTGATAATGAAAGCGAACTCAGGTACTTCTCCTTGTTGCCAACATGGAGTTTCTCTGTATTGTGCCTCCTTACTGTCAACAGGTGCCCCTCCTTGTCAGTTGGATGTTGTCTCTCCTTTTTGTCAACAGTGAATTTCTCTGTATCTTCAAAGGGTGTGCCTCCTTACTGTCAACAGGTGCCCCTCCTTGTCAGTTGGATGTTGTCTCTCCTTTTTGTCAACAGTGAATTTCTCTGTATCTTCAAAGGGTGTGCCTCCTTACTGTCAACAGGTGCCCCTCCTTGTCAGTTGGATGTTGTCTCTCCTTGTTGTCAACAGTGAATTTCTCTGTATTTTCAGAGGGTGTGCCTCCTTACTGTCAACAGGTGCCCCTCCTTGTCAGTTGGATGTTGTCTCTCCTTTTTGTCAACAGTGAATTTCTCTGTATTTTCAGAGGGTGTGCCTCATTACTGTCAACAGGTGCCCCTCCTTGTCAGCTGTGTGTTGTCTCTCCTTGTTGTCAACAGTGAATTTCTCTGTATTTTCAGAGGGTGTGCCTCCTTACTGTCAACAGGTGCCCCTCCTTGTCAGTTGGATGTTGTCTCTCCTTTTTGTCAACAGTGAATTTCTCTGTATTTTCAGAGGGTGTGCCTCATTACTGTCAACAGGTGCCCCTCCTTGTCAGCTGTGTGTTGTCTCTCCTTGTTGTCAACAGTGAAGTTCTCTGTATCTTCAGAGGGTGTGCCTCCTTACTGTTAACAGGTGCCCCTCCTTTTCAGCTGTGTGTTGTCTCTCCTTGTTGTCAACAGTGAAGTTCTCTGTATCTTCAGAGGGTGTGGCTCCTTACTGTCAACAGGTGCCCCTCCTTGTCAGCTGTGTGTTGTCTCTCCTTGTTGTCAACAGTGAAGTTCTCTGTATCTTCAGAGGATGTGCCTCCTTACTGTCAACAGGTGCCCCTCCTTTTCAGCTGGGTGTTGTCTCTCCTTGTTGTCAACAGTGGATTTCTCTGTATCTTCAGAGGGTGTGGCTCCTTACTGTCAACAGGTGCCCCTCCTTGTCAGCTGTGTGTTGTCTCTCCTTGTTGTCAACAGTGAATTTCTCTGTATTGTCCAGAGGGTGTGCCTCCTTACTGTCAACAGGTGCCCCTCCTTGTCAGTTGGATGTTGTCTCTCCTTGTTGTCAACAGTGAATTTCTCTGTATCTTCAAAGGGTGTGCCTCCTTACTGTCAACAGGTGCCCCTCCTTGTCAGTTGGATGTTGTCTCTCCTTGTTGTCAACAGTGAAGTTCTCTGTATCTTCAAAGGGTGTGCCTCCTTACTGTTAACAGGTGCCCTCCCTTGTCAGTTGGATGTTGTCTCTCCTTGTTGTCAACAGTGAATTTCTCTGTATCTTCAAAGGGTGTGCCTCCTTACTGTCAACAGGTGCCCCTCCTTGTCAGTTGGATGTTGTCTCTCCTTGTTGTCAACAGTGAATTTCTCTGTATCTTCAAAGGGTGTGCCTCATTACTGTCAACAGGTGCCCCTCCTTGTCAGTTGGATGTTGTCTCTCCTTGTTGTCAACAGTGAATTTCTCTGTATCTTCAAAGGGTGTGCCTCCTTACTGTCAACAGGTGCCCCTCCTTGTCAGTTGGATGTTGTCTCTCCTTGTTGTCAACAGTGAATTTCTCTGTATCTTCAAAGGGTGTGCCTCCTTACTGTCAACAGGTGCCCCTCCTTGTCAGTTGGATGTTGTCTCTCCTTGTTGTCAACAGTGAATTTCTCTGTATCTTCAAAGGGTGTGCCTCCTTACTGTCAACAGGTGCCCCTCCTTGTCAGTTGGATGTTGTCTCTCCTTTATGTCAACAGTGAATTTCTCTGTATCTTCAAAGGGTGTGCCTCCTTACTGTCAACAGGTGCCCCTCCTTGTCAGTTGGATGTTGTCTCTCCTTGTTGTCAACAGTGAATTTCTCTGTATCTTCAAAGGGTGTGCCTCCTTACTGTCAACAGGTGCCCCTCCTTGTCAGTTGGATGTTGTCTCTCGTTGTTGTCAACAGTGAATTTCTCTGTATCTTCAGAGGGTGTGCCTCCTTACTGTTAACAGGTGCCCCTCCTTGTCAGTTGGATGTTGTCTCTCCTTGTTGTCAACAGTGAATTTCTCTGTATCTTCAGAGGGTGTGCCTCCTTAGTGTCTACAGGTGCCCCTCCTTGTCAGTTGGATGTTGTCTCTCGTTGTTGTCAACAGTGAATTTCTCTGTATCTTCAGAGGGTGTGCCTCCTTACTGTTAACAGGTGCCCCTCCTTGTCAGCTGTGTGTTGTCTCTCCCTGTTGTCAGCTGGGTGTTGTCTCTCGTTGTGCCTCCTTACTGTCAACAGGTGCCCCTCCTTGTCAGTTGGATGTTGTCTCTCCTTGTTGTCAACAGTGAATTTCTCTGTATCTTCAAAGGGTGTGCCTCCTTACTGTCAACAGGTGCCCCTCCTTGTCAGTTGGATGTTGCCTCTCCTTGTTGTCAACAGTGAATTTCTCTGTATCTTCAGAGGGTGTGCCTCCTTACTGTCAACAGGTGCCCCTCCTTGTCAGTTGGATGTTGTCTCTCCTTGTTGTCAACAGTGAATTTCTCTGTATCTTCAAAGGGTGTGCCTCCTTACTGTCAACAGGTGCCCCTCCTTGTCAGTTGGATGTTGTCTCTCCTTGTTGTCAACAGTGAATTTCTCTGTATCTTCAAAGGGTGTGCCTCCTTACTGTCAACAGGTGCCCCTCCTTGTCAGTTGGACTCTCCTTGTTTCTCGTTGTTGTCAACAGTGAATTTCTCTGTATCTTCAGAGGGTGTGCCTCCTTACTGTTAACAGGTGCCCCTCCTTGTCAGCTGTGTGTTGTCTCTCCTTGTTGTCAACAGTGAAGTTCTCTTTATTGTCCGGAGGGTGTGCCTCCTTACTGTCAACAGGTGCCCCTCCCTGTTGTCAGCTGGGTGTTGTCTCTCGTTGTTGTCAACAGTGAATTGCTCTGTATTTTCAGAGGGTGTGCCTCCTTACTGTCAACAGGTGCCCCTCCCTGTTGTCAGCTGGGTGTTGTCTCTCGTTGTTGTCAACAGTGAATTGCTCTGTATCTTCAGAGGGTGTGCCTCCTTACTGTCAACAGGTGCCCCTGCTTGTCAGTTGGATGTTGTCCCTCCTTGTTGTCAACAGTGAAGTTCTCTGTATTGTCAAGAGGGTGTGCTTCCTTACTGTCAACAGGTGCCCCTCCTTGTCAGTTGGATGTTGTTTCTCGTTGTTGTCAACAGTGAAGTTCTCTGTATTTTCAGAGCGTGTGCCTCCTTACTGTCAACAGGTGCCCCTGCTTGTCAGTTGGATGTTGTCTCTCCTTGTTGTCAACAGTGAAGTTCTCTATTTTCAGAGGGTGTGCCTCCTTACTGTCAACAGATGCCCCTCCGTGTCAGTTGGATGTTGTCTCTCCTTGTTGTTAACAGTGAATTTCTCTGTATTTTCAGAGGGTGTGCCTCCTTACTGTCAACAGGTGCCCCTCCTTTTCAGCTGGATGTTGTCTCTCCTTGTTGTCAACAGTGAATTTCTTTGTATCTTCAGAGGGTGTGTCTCCTTACTGTCAACAGGTGCCCCTCCTTTTCAGCTGGATGATGTCTCTCATTGTTGTGAACAGTGAAGTTCTCTGTATTGTCCAGTGGGTGTGGCTCCTTACTGTCAACAGGTGCCCCTCCTTGTCAGTTGGATGTTGCCTCGCCTTGTTGTCAACAGTGAATTTCTCTGTATTGTCCAGTGGGTGTGGCTCCTTACTGTCAACAGATGCCCCTCCTTGTCAGTTGGATGTTGTCTCTCCTTGTTGTCAACAGTGAAGTTCTCTGTATTGTCCAGAGGGTGTGCCTCCTTACTGTCAACAGGTGCCCCTCCTTTTCAGCTGGATGTTGCCTCGCCTTGTTGTCAACAGTGAATTTCTCTGTATCTTCAGAGGGTGTGCCTCCTTACTGTCAACAGATGCCCCTCCTTGTCAGTTGGATGTTGTCTCTCCTTGTTGTCAACAGTGAATTTCTCTGTATCTTCAAAGGGTGTGCCTCCTTACTGTCAACAGGTGCCCCTCCTTGTCATTTGGATGTTGCCTCTCCTTGTTGTCAACAGTAAATTTCTCTGTATTGTCCAGAGGGTGTGCTTCCTTACTGTCAACAGGTGCCCCTCCTTTTCAGCTTGGTGTTGTCTCTCCTTGTTGTCAACAGTGAATTTCTCTGTATTTTCAGAGGGTGTGCCTCCTTACTGTCAACAGGTGCCCCTCCCTGTTGTCAACTGGATGTTGTCTCTCCTTGTTGTCAACAGTAAATTGCTCTGTATTGTCCAGGGGCAGTGGGGTAGCCTTATGGACAAAGCATCTGCTCATCACTCCGAAGATCTGGGATCGATTCCCCATATGGGTACAATGTGTGAAGCCCATTTCTGGTGTCGCCAGCCGTGATATTGATGGAATATTGCTAAAAGTGGCGTAAAACTAAACTCGCTTACTCATAGCTACCATATATTGCTGTCTATGAGGCCACCCCATTTTTAAGGCTATCCCCTGTAAAAGCCATGAAAATTGATGCCAATTTTTATATATAACAAGATATGGAATGAAGCACATTACCATGAAACGCAATCCGCACATTTTTTTAAAAATGTGTTTGACTTCTCTTATATGGTTGCGATACGCAATATGTTTCTTTTCACAAAACTATGGGAATTCTTAATCTCCTAGTGACTCAAGTTGTAGAGGATGCTCATCCAACGCCAGGTCACGCCCGATATTCCTGGGGCTCTGTGGACAAAGTTCAAGGTATATTCTGTGTGAAACTGTCACCATGGTAACCATGCACATTGCACTGCTGGTAGTGAGAAGATGTCATCTTGAAAATTCTTTTGTTTGATTCTGATTAATGATTTCCATTACTAACTCTGTTATAAAAAATTAAGAATTTTTTCAATTGGTAAAATTCTATACTTAGTTGTTAAATGTTTTCTTTAAGAAATAACAGTCCTTGTAAAAAAAATGCAAATACAGCAGAGACATGAATGCTATGTAAATAATATAATTTTTCAACCAATCAGTAAGTATGGAAATAAACTAAGGAATTTTTTTTATGTTTTATTCAATCAATAACTGTTAACTATTAATTAAATGTTTCCTGTTACTCGCCAAGCTGTACGCTTCTTCCCTAATGCTGCTATGCTAACACTGTAGGAAGAAACAATGGAGCCATGTATAGAAGGACCCATGAAGATCTGGGTTGGGAGTGATCTTCAGTAAGCCATGCTTGTCGTAAGAGGCGACTAATGGGATCGGTTGGTCAGCCTTGCTGATTTGATTGACACATGTCATCGTATCCCAATTGCGTAGATTGATGCTCATGCTGTTGGTCACTGGATTGTGTGGTCCAGATTCGATTATTTACAGACTGCCGCCATATAGCTGGAATATTGCTGAGTGCGGCTGAAGCTAAACTTACTCACTCCATGTATTGAATACCTTAACTGGTATATGTGATCCATTTGGTAATTTTGATTACTGCTTATTGCCTTAAACCAGTGAACCATTTCAAATATGGATGTTCACAACACACCTATAATGAGCAGATATGGCCATGAGGCAGATACCACATTGAGATGGTCATTGACCAGCTTGTAAAATAAAAAGGTATATGTTTGGATCTGTGACCTGTTTCGGGCTTCAACTCTAAACTTCTTTCTTAGTACCAATACACGTCCGGTGGTTCTTTTCTAAATCAAGTCCGTGGACTGGTACTCTTTCCTTGTTCTTTCACTGTTCATTCGGGGCGATGGTGTAGCCTAGTGGGTAAAGCGTTGGCTCGTCAAGCCAAAGACCCGGGTTCGATTCCCCTCATGGGTACAATGTGTGAAGCCCATTTCTGGTGTCCCCTGCCATGATGTTGCTGGAATATTGCTAAAAGCGGCGTAAAACCAAACTCGCTCACTGTTCATTCCCAATCAACCTGTGCTGATCCAGGTTAGAACTACACTCAAGCAACCCATGCTTGTTGTAAGATGTGACAAAAGTGATCAGGTGGCGTCTCGCTGATTTGGTTAAAGGATGTCATCGTGATTGAGTGGATCGATGCTCATGATGTCAGTCAAGGGATTGGCTCGGTTATTCACAGCTGGCTGATATAAACCTGGAATACCGCTATACGACGGACAAAATATACCATTGCTGAAATGTCCCAATGCGCGTGTACCCATCGTATCCCATGTTACCATCCCGTAGATGGATGCTGTTGATGACTTGATTGTCTGGTCCAGACTTGATTACTTACAGACTGCCTATATAGTTTAAATATTGCTGATCACAGCTTTAAACAACAAACACCGCATTCTGAGTCAGTGGTGGAGATCATCACTTGCAAAAAAAGAAAGTCAGATCTCATGTTGGGTCATCGTGTCCCAATTGTGTAGATCGATGCTCATGCTGTTGATCACAGCATGAGCTGGATTGTCTGGTCCAGACTCGATTATTTAGAGACCGCCGCACTATAGCTGGAATATTGCTGAGTGCGGCGTAAAACTAAACTCAATCAGTCAATCATAAAGATTGTCCTTATCCAATTTGTATGTGTCGTTATGGCTTGTAGTAAATATACATGTCAGTATGAATGTCACTTATACATCCAGAGCATCTTGCATAAAGACATACCTCCCGCTTTCTTGTACTAAAGATGCCATGACAAAGCTGGTAGATTACACATTGCCATTTAGAAAGTGGTCAAATGTAACATATGTTATATTTGGGATTACACTTTCTTAGTAAAGTACAGATTCTAGTACTGTGGGGTTGAGCCCCAACCAGGATTCGAACCCACACCCACAGAGTCAGGCATCTAATCGCCAACACACAAAGTCAGCCGCCTAACCTGCTCAGCTTTTGCCTTCCACAAGCCGCAGTGGTTGAGCAGGTTAGGCGGCTGACTTTGTTCGCCATACATAATATAGTTTATGAAAAACGTCATATACCATTCATCCTTTATTTCTTTTTATCCTAATTGATATGCAGAATGATTGATTTAGGGATTTTCTCATTACATTTTTCATGCCTGTACTCTTATTGAAAGTTAACTATTTTTACGAGTTCATACATAGCTTTGATTGTCAAATGCACAATCGCTTTGCACGTGCAAATGCATCTTCCCCTCTCAACAGTGCTGCAGCTAGTTGTTACCACCCTCTGTTGATTGATTGTTATAACATGTTTCTAAATTTGTTGATAATATGCAAATTTTTGTTATTTTTACAAGTACAAATTTACCTTTTGGATGATGATTAGAGGACCAAATTAAAAGGCCTAGTTGGGAAAAATATTTTTTAATACTTGTTAAAACTACCTATTTTAACAGTGTTTAAAACTCCCAAAATTCCAAACCAGACAGCCGGACTGGTAACGTTAAAAAAATACCAGTACGGATAGAAACTTGCCTGTCCGGTTTTCAACAATTAAAAACTGTGACTGCCATTTCCAACTCACGCAAGCTCCATTCACTGTTTGTAGGCATCGGAATGAACTACATAGCACAAACAGGCAATGCACTGAGTTTAGGTAAAACTGAACGTACATGATTGTGATTGGTTATCGTAGCATGAACTGTCCAATCGTAAGTAGTTTAACATAATTATCCTAATACCTTAAACACCTCAAACTGATGACAAGAGAGCCCATCTGATACTATGAAATATTTACTCTTAGGGGTAAAAATATCTACCAGACCACTGGACAGGCTACTTTTGAAATTTGACCGTCCGAGAAGAAAATAGACCGTTCCGGTCGGTCGGGCAGGCGGGAATTTTAAACACTGATTTTAATGAAGTAATGAACAAATAAATGCCAAAACCCATTTTATTTCTATTTCCGTGAGTACTATAGTGTTTACAAGAGGCATTTTGATTGCTTGTTGATGTCAAGGCACTTTTGTTGCTGCTTCAGATTTAGTATATTTTTGCACCTACATAGTCTGCTTCTACTTATGTTCCGGCACCCGTGAAGTTCCGGGTTAGAATATTGAAGGTACAATCTGTCTTATCCTCTTCTTTCAAGAATTATCCCATGGATATTGGGTGAGAATATAGGTCCCCAATAACCTATGGTTGTCGTCGGTGTTGTGGTTGCTTGGATTGATGCTCATGATATCAATCACTGGATTATGTGGTCCAGATTGAATCATTTGTCATAGAGGTGGATTTGTGCTGAATGTCTCGTTGAATAATACACAATATGTTGACAATGTTTTTATTATATATTTTTCAGTTCATGCAGAGGACAGCGTCGCTCAAGGACTTAAACAAAGAATTCGTGTTTTGTGTTTGGTAATGACCTTGAAAGAGAATGAAGAATCGCGAGCTCTTGCCGTCAACCAGACATGGGGGAGGAGATGTACGAAACTCCTGTTTGTCACATCGGAAATGCTGGAGGATCTTCCATCTTTGGTGTTACGTGTTGAAGACGGCAGAAACCATTTGACTGCCAAAACTATGGCTATGTTCAAATATGCCTTCAGCCATTATTTGGACCAGTTTGACTGGTTTCTCAAAGCAGACGATGACACATTTTTCGTCATGGAGAATTTGCGATATTTATTGTCACTCCATGACCCATCAAACAAAGTTTATGTCGGACATCACTTCAAGAGATACATCGACAGTGGCTATATGAGTGGGGGAGCGGGCTATGCTATAAATAACGCCGCTTTGAGACACTTCGGAGAAAAATCCAATTTATGTGTCTCGGATGGTTGGGGGGAAGATATTGACTTCGGAAGGTGCATGGAAAATATTGGGATACAGTGTTACCAGACTAAGGACATCCTTGGAAGGAACAGCTTCCATGGCCTTGGGTTCGATGAGATGATGTACTGGTTTGACAAAGTCAAGCTCCATGCCGTCCAGGTTAAAGAACCTATACATATAGTGAGTGTTGACTGATACTTCGGAATCCTGTGTTGCACGTCGGGCTCAACGGCCATTGATGAAATATAGAATTTGATTTTATTACTAGTTGATGTTTCTTTTGCCAACATTATTATAGTTATGAAGTGAAAGGTTTTTCTATATTTAGGCCAGACCAATTTTATTTCTTGTTTTATGGATCCGTCGGTCATATTTTTTCATGAATAAGAAAAAAGATAAAAATTAATTTTACCCGCTCAAAAGATTTTATTAGCCAAACATGTAAAACAAGAATTTTTTTAGATTGTTTATTTGCCTCATATACGCTTCATGAATTGCCAAAAGATAAATACTTTTAGTAAGTAAAAGGAATATTACTTTGACTGGTGATTTTTAATTATCATTATTATTTTTTTACCTCCTGCTTTTAGGTTTTCTGAGGACAAATATCCATAAAACAAGAAATAAAATTGGTCTGGCCTTAGCAATTCTGTAAAAGGATACATATATGGTCAGGTATTGGAGGTTCAAAGTGTATCACAATATGTTGCGATACACATGGCCGTACGTATCACGATAAATCACGATATATTGGGTTAAATAATAGTATTCTGTATTATAATTTAGAATTTTGAATTCAGATACAATCTGAAACACTGCATGAACTGAAGTTTATCATAAATAGAAGAGAACAAGATGTTGGTGATAACATCTGACCATCTTTAAGACTAGGATGTTGTTGATGGAAGTGTAAGAATGTGCACGCATATAAGGGAGGTAACTGAGAATTAACTTCTGATCTTCACAGACTTATTGAAGCATTTTGAAGGTGTTTGGAAAGGGTATAACATTGAAGACATAATAAAACTCACTCTTTGAAATTATTCCAAATAGAAGTACCCCTCCGCTTGTCACCCCCTCTGTCCCTCTGTCGGGGTACAATTGTTAAAGCATTTCCTCATCACACTTGAGACCTGGGTTCGATTCCCCACATGGGTTCAATGTGTGAAGCCCATTTCTGGTGTCCCCCACCATGATATTGCTGGAATATTGCTTAAAGCGGCGTAAAACTGACTGACTGACTGACTGACTGACTGACTGACTCCCCTCCCCCTCTCTCTCTTTCTCCTTGTGCATTTTACAACACTGACATGGGTATATCATGGAAGGGAAGTAACTCTATACTAGTCACTAACATATACCAAATTTTATTTTGACATTTGCTTGTAAGACGCGACTAACGGGAGTGGGTGGTCAGGCTTGCTGACTTGGTTGACACATCATTGTATCCCAGTTGTGTAGATCGATGCTCATGCTGTTGATCACTGGATTGTCTAGTCCAGGCTCAATTATTTACAGACCGCCGTCATATAGCTGGAATATTGCTGAGTGTGGCGTTAAACAACAACCAAACCAAAGAATCATTTTGGCATTGTTTTGCTTTGAAAGATTACCCTGTCAACCAAACTAAAATGTATTGATGCCATTGTTTTGAAAGATTACCCTGTCAACCAAAACAAAATGTATTAATGCCACTGTTTTGAAAGGTTATTCTGTAAACCAAACCAAACTGTAATAATGCCTCTGTTTTGTTTGTGTTCAGGGTCCATCCTGCTGCAGCCAACTCTCCGTCAGCTTCCACTACTTATCTCCGCAACAGATGTATCAGTTTGAGTTCCTGCTGTACCGGATGGCGGTGTACGGGAGACGCACCTCGGACAACATGTTCAAAGACTTCTTTCCAGCAACAACAATACCTAAAGGCCATTACACGGAGGACCCCATACCTCGATTCTACTGAGTGAGTGAGTGAGTGAGTGAGTGAGTGTAGTTTTACACCACTTTAACAATATTCCAGCAATATCACGGCGGGGGACACCAGAAATGGGCTTCACACATTGTACCCATGTGGGGAATCGAACCTGGGTCTTCGGCATGACAAGCGAAAGCTTTAACCACTTGGCTACCCCACTCTTCTATTGAAGGGGTGGCGGAGTAGTTTAGTGGTTAATGTGTTTGCCACTCACACAAAAGACCCAGGTATGATTCTCCACATGGGTACAATTTGTAAATGTAAATGTAAAGCCCATTTCTGGTTACCATACTGTGATATTACTGGATTATTGTGAAAAGTAATTTGATATATATATGACACTGGTTATATTTCACCTTATGGGTAATAAATTGCTTTATTGGCGGTCTGATTAATTGAAATAAGCGACACAGTCGATCATGTTTTCTCATTATCGAACTCAAACAATATTTTTCACAAGGTCTTGCCTTGTCTTGCCTGTTACATTTCATAAGTGCAAAAAGTTCGTTCCAAGTCATGATTGAATTTTCCTTAAAGACTTCAGGAAATTTATGTTCCTAACATACTAGTCATCACTAAAGATGTGAAATTTGCAAATGCATTTTGTCCAATTTGCAAAAAAATAAAAATTATGAAAGAACTACATGTTTTTTCTTTATATTTTTATGCATTAACAAACATAACCAGGAAAATTTGATAAATGACGCTAACCAAATATCTTCGATGATTGATTGGTTGTAATGAACCAATCATCAATTTATGAGATTTTAACCAATTCCTAACACTAATGTTTAGTATTCATACCATGTGAGGTTGTCTTTGATTTAACGTTGAATTAGTGAATAGGATAGAATAAGATAATCAAGTTAGTTTTCTTAATTTTGAAAGAATTTGTCTGAATGATGATATGTAACCAAGCAACCCAATGGTCAGGAGAAGTCATGGTGACATAGTCCTTATGTTTCATATAAAGAGCAAATGTTAAAGGCACAATGTCACACATTTTCAACAATATTTTGGCTTATATTATATATATTGGGGCATATGCGCTCACTTTAGCTTCCTATTGATGCAATAAAACACTTATTATCCCTTACCACTTGCCTGAAATCTATAATTGAAACTTCGAGACGAACAGCTTCCAAACAGAAAACACTTGCCTTATATGGAATGAAAATTGTCGCACACAGTGTTGCCAGTGTTTGCCAAACTGGTTTCAATCATAGGTTGTGGGTAGGATATTAGTAGAGAGCGCTCCAAGGGACATAACTCTAAGGGGTTCACTTGAAATAATGTTCAGCCAGTAGAGGGCGCGAGAGTCGATTTAATGCAACTTTGCATTAATTCATTCCAACTTTTTAATATAATATTGCAATCTAAATACGTAAAAAAAATGTGGAATAAATTATATGGTAGCTTCCTTGAGGGCTGATAGTTAGTATTACTGAGAGAAATGCATTATTTCTTTTAAGATAAGTGCGGTGTGATATGGTGCCTTTAAGCAGGCTTGTATAAAGGGTATGGCTGAGATGTTCTGAGCCTGAGGATTCAGACAATACAGCGTTATTGGTTTGTGGACATCGAAGGGGATTATAACTTCCATCAACAGAACCCATTGTACTTACATTCAAAACTGCCTCTCCTCGTATCATGTACCAATTATCATCACATGTATTTTTATATTGGCCAATTGGCCTATGAAAATTTGAAGCTTCCAATGGATGTGTTTTTGTAATATTTTATTTATTTATGAGTGTTTTGTTTGTGAAACCAAGAATCAGGGGTGGAAATAACCCATTGCCCGACGCCTGAGTCCAGCGTTTTTTTCTGTCGGGCAAGCAAATTTGTATATCACACTGTACCGGTGTCCAGTTGACTTTCCAATGTTAATTATGTTGTTTATTTAAAGAATCAACAAGAAAACGGCTGTTATAGTGGAAAAATGATCAGGGCAAGTGATTTTACATGTGCCACTGTACCGGAGTACACTAGCAATTTTAAAGTTATTTCCACCCCTGAGAATGCAATAATGCTGTGAACCAAAGCCCCCGTTTTACCTTGTCTTGTCTCACCTTGTAATGTGAATATCGCAACACTTTGTGATGTTTATGAATTTTAGCTCATCTCACTGGAAAGGCCATGTGGACTTATGTCCTCGCAAATCATCCATTGTCCATCTCTGTCTGTCCATCTGTTTGTGTGAAAACAAAGTCTTGGATCAATGGACGTGTTTTGTCTTCAAAATGAGCACCTTATAAATGTGCTGAATTCATTTAATTTAGCAACAAATTATGTTTAAGTAAAGAGACAAACTGTACAATGTCAGAAGTAAATAGATATAACGGAAAAATAAACATCCCATGTTTCTAAAAGCATTAGCATTTGTTTTTCACTCAAAGCAACCTATCCGAACACTGTTATATAAAATAGATTTACACAAACACATTTATAAGGTGCTCATTTTGAAGGTTTATACAGTGTATCTTGTCAGTAAGTAGTTGCGAGAGGTAGCAGCTTTCCACTTGCTTCTCACAAATGTTTCTGCCAGTTCTATGAATCATGTTTACTTTTGTCATCATCCCTTCCTATGTACTTTTAATTCTTGCACCTTGAGCACGCTGCAAATGAGCACATTATGTATATGCTCAATTATTATTATTATTATTTATTAATTCTGAATGATGATTTTAGCTGTATTTTTCATATTTTTATTCCTTATGATTCTGTTGTGCAGATAAAAATGACATTAAACTATTTATTTTCTGAGTGTTGATTTAACTCAGATCATTCCAATTTGTCAACAGAAATGAGTGTCCCCTGAAATATGGGGAATTTTTTTTACCTTATCCTGCATTACTCCTTAATGCATTTACTGCTTTCCTTTGACAAGACGAAGCTGTGAGATGGAGCATCAAAGAGAAGTTGTTCCAACTAAGCGAGCCGCCATACTGCCATCGTACTGCGCCCATGTGACCTGGAAAGTGCTGACATCACGTATCTTCACATTACTGCTTGTCACCAGCCTGACAGGCCGTGCGATTTTTTGCTGGGATCAAACTTGCGACTTTACACGTTTTTTCTGTGTTTTCTTTTGTCGTTTTTCCTTTTGGATAGTTTCTTCAAGAAACGGTTTGTGACTATTTATTTAAAGAGAAGAGTAATTGTGTTTTTCCCTGGTCTGCACGTTATTTAATTGATTCATGTTTATATCGTGTCGTCTGCTTGTTCCATTTAGCCATGTTGCATTCAGTGCACGTGAACACGGCCTCGTGTTCTGCTCTGTTTTTGCAGGTTTTATTCCTTGGTAGTCTCTTTTATGCTACTTTACCAATGTTCTGTTTATATACTACAATATTCGTTACTAAATGTATCTGTAACTTGTCCAGTATATTGTTACAAGCATTAAGTTTTCCCTTAACCATGTTTTTGGTAGGCGGGAAATAATGGTTGTCTCTTTATTTGTGTTTTTTTCTTACACACTTTATTGGTTTTGGGCTTCTGCTTATGTTGCAGATTTATGCCGCGTTATATTGCCTGCAACGACAGCAAGTCAAGCAGGGACCCCCATCCGAGGTGTTTAAACTGTACTTGGCAGTGTTCCCTGACATCCAAGTGTGCTCTTTCTCCCACAGCTTTCAATAAGTATTTGCAGGTTTCTAGGAAGCGAATTACGCAACAAGCTTACAGACGCAGGATGTCTGCTTCTCAAGACTCTATTATCTCCCTGGCTGCTACGGAGGTATGTGGTTCTATGGAGGAGACATCAACCCCACCGACTAAGGTGATGTCTGGTTTATCTACTACAGCATCTTTGAGTGGTTTGTCGACACTGCCTGGCGTCTTTGTCTTCAACAGCTTCGACACTGTTTTTTCTGACACCATCTACTTGTCCGGCGCCTCTAGTGTCGTCTGTGATGACAGCATCAGCGACTGTGGCGCCGCCTAGCCTTCCTGCCTACCAGTGTGAGCTTCCAGCGCCCTACATGGACCCAGGTTGGATGCAGTCCTTTTTACAGTCTATGTTTCAACAGAGGATGGCACCTTTGGTGGTCCCTCCATTTACTCCACAGCCGGCGTTCCCTTCCCTCCCAGGACATGCAGTGTTTGCAGCGCCTGGGGCGCCTCTCCTGATGGCAACTCCTCCCGCGCACACTGTACCTCTGTTGTCTACTGCACAGTCTGCACCGCCTTTACCTGCCGCGTCACTGGTTCTCTCGTCTCCGACTCCGTTGACGCTTGTAGCTTCCGTTACTGCTCCAGCGTGTGTGGCGCCCTCGGCATCTCCTTTTTTGACACCATCAACAGTTACGGGTAGCGCCTCTACTTCTAGTTCGCGCCATAGCAGGAAATCCACCAAACAGAGATGCAGGTCTTATAAGCACCATTCGGATTCATCAGAGGGCGCTTTTGTACCGATTGATGAAGACTCATCTCCAGAAATTAATGCTCACTTAGGACTTCGACAAGTCCCGGAGCGGATGTCTGATCGTCTATCCGAGGTGGCTCCTTCCCCAGTTCCGGGTATTGAAAAGAGGGATATTATTTGGTCGGACCCAACTTCTATCCCACCGGATCCTATGATCAAGGATTTGATAACGACTCTTGACGAGGATTTTGCCACGTTATCTCTTACTCCATCCATTAAGGTGCCACGTTTTCGGAAGGATGATTTTCCTATCCATGCTCTTGAAGTGGCGGATTTGCCTCACACGCTTGATGAGGACTTACTGACTAGCTCATCTAAACCTGCAACGCTCTGTATGCTGGACACTTGTTTAGCCTTTATTGAGACGGAAATTCGATGCTCCCTCAAACCTTTGTCGGCACTGGCATCCTCCTTGAGGGCGATTAGTCGTGACTTATCTGAAAACAATCTGAATCGTATAAACCATCTCCACACTGTGATGACTTTTCAACAGAGGCAAACTGAGCATATGAGTAATCTTCTGAAGGCAATGCTAGCTGAAATCACGTCAACACGACGCCTGGGATATTTGGCTCTTTTGGAATGGGACTCTGAATTTAAACGACGTCTACTTCGTCAGCCTTGGTCTGCTTCCTCCCTTTTTAATGGTGAAGTTTCCAACACACACTCCCGTGTTTCTGATTATGCTCGTGATGAGACGGCCCTCAAGGCCCTGGAACAAGTTTCGAAGAATTCAGCGCTTAAAGTTCCTAGGGTAGGGAATTATCAACCCGGGTGCACCTCTCTCCAGCCACAATCCAGCCAGCCCTGTCGGGGTAGAGGTCGTGAGAGAGGGAGACAATCTGGGAATTACCAGCCCTGCAGGGACAGGAGTTCTGGTAGAGGGAGGGAGGGGCAAGCAATGAAGTGCTGGACACAACGACTGGGAACTCCCACCCCCAGCCGTACCGGTCACAAACACCTCAGTAGGTGGGAGATTGGGTCGATATTGGAAGAACTGGTGGTTATTAGGAGACCAACATCCTCCGTCAGGCTATCGACTTTCACTGATAGACAATCCACTGTTAACAATCTCACCTCAAACGGATGTTTACCCCCCCAACCAAAATCACATCTTATTGGACAATATAAACATTTTGTTACACAAGAGAGCCATTGAGATAGTGCCGACTTTGACACCAGGTTTTTACTCCCCAGTATTCTGGTTCCCAAAAGGACTCCGACAAGTTCAGAATGATCCAAAATCTATCTCGGTTCAACTTAACGTTATCTGGAACCCTGCCTCACTTTCAAATGACAACGCGTTGAGACTGCTCAGGACCAGAATCAGCGCTCACAACTACCTGATGAGTCTTGACTTGCAGGACGCGTATTTGCATGTGCCAATCCACCCCAGCGACAGGCGTTTCCTCAGGTTTATTTTCAATGGTATCCATTACCAATGGGCGGGACTCCCGTTTGGAATTTCCTCGGCCCCATGGCTTTTCAAACGAATAACCAAGCCAATAGCAGCCTATCTACACCTGAGGAACATTCAATTTGAGTCATACATCGATGACTGTCTCCTCAATCAGCTGACGCCTGCTTCATCAGCTGGGATGGCTTGTCAATGAGCAGAAGTCAGAACTCACTCCCTCTTGCACACTACAGTTCATAGGGGATTGTTCAAGTCACATCTGAACCTCTTATCCGTTCCAAGGGACTGCTGGCTCAAGATTCTGCACAGCATCTTTATCCAGCGCTCCATCAATCTCGTACTCTTCACCAGTGGCAAGTACTTCTGGGGTTACTAACGCCAGCTCAGGATTTGACAACCAGGGGTCGCCTTCAACTCGCGCCTGATCAAAATTTTCCGAGCCCCATTCATCAGGCTTTCAGGATCAGTCGATCTCCATCAACAATCTGGAGTTGGAGGCAGTCATTCTGGCCCGTGTCTCACTGGCAGTCACGCGTCGTCAGCATGCCGAACTCATCATATTGATTGACGGACAACACCACGATGATCTGGTGTCTTCGCCAACCAGGGAACGACTCATTCTCAATCCCTGTTGCATCAGGCATTTTGATTTTTTGTCGTCGATCGCCTGGACTTGAAGTTCATCGCATTACAGCATATTCGGGTTGCGAAACATTCTTAGCGGACGACCTTTCCAGACAGGAAAGCACCCACGAATGGGAGCTACACCCAGAGGTGTTCAACATCAATTGTCTTAAGCCTCCCAATATAGACATCCCAACTCAGAGCTTACTCACCACCTCTCTTTGATTTTGATCGCGCCTTGGTGGCCAGCGAAGAGTTGGTTCGTGGATTTAAGAAAGCTCGTCACCCACGATCCTCTAAAGCTGCCAGAGTGGCCAAATCTGCTGATACACCCACACAGCAGGCTTTCACACCTGGCTCCAGGTCAGTTTCGTCTGCACGCCTGGTACATTTGCAAAGGGCTTTAAGCGCCAAGGGCCATAACTTTGGCACACAGACCCTCAACTCGAGGTTTTTATGACGACAAATGGAGATCCTTTGAGAGGTTTTGCAAGGACAAACATCAAGTTCCTGTTACTGCATCACCTCAATTACTGCCTGAATTTCTTCTGTTTCTGCGTAATCACAGACACCTCAGGGGTAGTACCATTACGACGTATTTGGTAGCTCTGAATGCGGTGTTGGCTGTTCCAGAGGATGACCAACATGACCAAGATTCCAGAAGTACAGGCTTTGATGTGTTCTTTTCGTCTAGAGGACCAGAAGGTCAAGTTTAGGCCACCTGCTTGGGACCTGAACGTTGTGCTTTGTTTGTTGCGGGAGGCACCATTCGAGCCGCTTCATGCCATATCTTTTTACGACCTCACCAAGAAGATTTTTTTTCTCCTTGTGCTGGCCACGGCAGCTAGGATGAGTGAGCTGCATGCTCTCGATGTCACCCGTGTTTGATTTGAACGGACCCCACATGGAGCCGTCCACCTGGGACTGTGCTGGGACTTCATTGCAAAAAGTCAACTCCCTGGACAGCCCAACAGGTCTTTCACGATTCCCCCTCTCTCTTCAATTGTGGGATCTGAGGATGACGCAGAACTTCATTTATGCCCGGTCTGTGCACTGCGATGTTTTCTTCGTCGGTCTAAGGCTCATTGTGGTGCAAGGAAACAGCTCTTTATTCCTGTCTCCAAGACATCCAAGGCGGAAGTTAGTCGTACCACTTTGGCGTTATGGTTGCGAGCCACCATTCTCCAGGCTTATGAAGCTAACAACCCTCATGAGATCAGAACGGTAGCCTCCACGATGGCCATCCATAGTAATTGTTCCATTAGATCCATCATGGAAGGATGCTTTTAGAAATCTGATACAGTTTTTTCCAGTCACTACTTGAGGGATGTGGCACTGGAAGACGTAAGAGGGCGTACACAGTTTTGGTCCCCTGGTGGTGGCACAACAGGTTACCAATCCCACGGCAGTCCTGAGCAAGCCTTGTGACTCTTGGTGTACATCACCCTAGACGAGCAGGTTCCATGCTGTTTGCATTCTCTCGGTAGGTCAGTTTCAGATTGTAGTGTTTGTTTCTCTTTTACTGCCATCCAACCTGGACGCCTTTCATTCCTCACACTCTCTTTTATCCTGGCAGGTATGGTCTCTGGGATTCATCGACCATGACTACTGATGGATTATCTCCTGCGGTGTGAGAGGTTTCTTTTTATCATGAGTATCCCATCTGAAGGTTTGCTCGCCTCCTTTCTGTCGGATACAGATGCATTAAGGTATTAATCTAGATATTTTTTATATTTGTATACTTATCCTGCATTACTCAGTCTCGACGCCCACCCATCGCTGCACTACCTCCCCACGATGGTTTTCTTCAGATGTCACAATCCAGCAGTAATTTGAAGATACGTGACGTCAGCACTTTCCGGGTCACGTGGGCGCAGTGCATGGCAGTGCATGGCAGTATGGCGGCTCGCTTAGTTGGAACAACTTCTCTTCGATGATTCGATCTTACAGCTTCGTCTTTTCAAAGAAAAGCAGTAAATGCATTAAGGAGTAATGCAGGATAAGTATTTAAATATACAAAATATCTAGATTTTACTAGCTTCTTTCCAGTGGATGATTGTGTAAGCTGAGCATTTGTTCGCTTATTAAAGGAATATTGTTGCTTTTATTTATGAATGGTGATACTTCATTGTCTTGTATACACTGAAGGGCAGTGAATGATAATTGTTTTTTAATGGTTTGACTTGCAAAAGAGAGTGAGTGAGATTAGTTTTATGCTGCTTATATTGCTAAAAGCGGTGAAACTAAACTCACTCACTCTCTTATGAGTATTGCTCAGTAAAGAAAACTCTTTGTGTTAATGAGATCAATTAATCAAGACCTTTACTGAAATAGATATGCAAGCTGTGATGTCATGCTACAAGGTTTACAGTTTTGTACAATGGGTAAATGCACAAAGTCTTCTGCTATTGGGTAATAAAGTTTGATATGTGCGCAAAATGATGCTATAAAGTGTTACATATTCATCATATCCATGCGTATCCGTGTACCAGCAGCATTATTTGTTTGGTATGACATTGTTTTATTTACACAAATACACAGATTATCTGCAGTTCTTGTGCAATAGATGTGGTGTTCAAAGGATGGTTATTGTATAATTCGACTGAAGGACTAGCAAAATAGTTGTCAAGTATATCACATGAATAGTTTGAAGATACATCACGTGATATGTTGCCAAGTACATCACATGATTAGTTGCCAAGGTCATCACGTGATATGTTGCCAAGGTACATCACATGATTAGTTGCCAAGTACATCACATGAATATTTGCCAAGGTCATCACGTGATATGTTGCCAAGTACATCCCATGGATAGTTGCTAAGGTCATCACGTGATATGTTGCCAAGTACATCCTATGGATAGTTGCCAAGTACATCACTGGATAGTTGCCAAGTACATCACATGAATAGTTGCCAAATTACATCACATGTATCATATATTGCCAAGTACATCACATGATTAGTTGCCAAGGTCATCACGTGATATGTTGCCAAGGTACATCACATGATTAGTTGCCAAGTACATCCCATGGATACATCACATGAATATTTGCCAAGGTCATCACGTGATATGTTGCCAAGGTACATCACGTGATGATAGCCTGCTAAGTACATCCAATGGATAGTTGCCATAATACATCACATGAATAGTCACAGTACATCACATTTGAATAGTTGCCAAGATACATGACGTGACATGTTGCCAAGGTGTGTGTGTGTGTGTGTGTGTGTGTGATGATGAAGCCTCCATGTCATGTACAAAATTCAATGCCCCCAACCCTATATTCCCCATAATGTTTTAATGTTCCTATGTACAAAATTGCTGAACCTCCTAGTCCATGTGTTCAAAAATTGATGACCCCACTACCTCCCCAGAACAAAATGGTGGCGGTGGGGTAGTCTAGTGGTTAAAGCGTTCGCTCGTCACTCCGAAAACCCGGGTTCGATTCTCCACATGGGTACAATGTGTGAAGCCCATTTCTGGTGTCCCCCACCGTGATATTGCTGGAATATTGCTAATGGCAGGGTAAAACCAAACCAAACTCCCTCACTCAGAACAAAATGGGCAAAAGAAGAGTGGGCTTAAGAAGTTCGTAGGGCTACGAACGTTTCGAGAATAGCTGGCCTGGTCTCTTTTACTATTTGATAGTGATTCATAAACACACGCCCGCGATGAAGTCGAAATCATTGTTTGTGGTTGATGTGGAATGGGTTTGTCACTGACGTCTAGTGAACATCAGGCAAACCCTTGAAGATCCAGGTTATAATTGGTCTTCAAGCCATTCTAAGAGGCGACTAACGGGATCATGTGGTCAGGCTCGCTGACTTGGTTGATACATCGTGTCCCAATTTCGTAGATCGATACTCATGCTGATGATCACTCGATTGTCTGGTTCAGACTAGATTATTTACACACCGCCGCCATATAGCTGGAACATTGCTGGGTCTGGCATTAACAAGCAAACAATTTGTCCGGGCTATTGCTGTGTTTATAATGCTTGACCTCTGATATGCTATGCTGTACTATTCTATAAAATGGGTACTCCTCTTAGTAAACGGACTATGAGCAGACCAGTTGTTCTTTCCACCTCCCACCTCCCACCGACTGGACGGGTTGCGACAAGAACCATTTTTTAACGTATTTTAGAATGATGCGACCGGGAATCGAACCTCTGTCCTTCCGCTCTCCCGGCAGAAGCTGTGTCAACTGGACCGAGGAGCCGGACATGAGTGAGTTGAGTTTTCCGCCGCACTCAGCAATATTCAAGCTATTCCCGTTTTTCACGTCCCTTGCCATATTGCTGGCATATTGCTAAAAACAGCGTAAAAACCATTCCCACTCTCTCCTGTATAAATATCTCTGTAATAACTGTCAGTTTTTGCATGCACTTTATTCAGGACCTCAGCAAGATGCTAAGCAGTTCACACAACATATAAACTGGAAGGATGGCCGTCCCAGCAGCGCGGTTTTCCGTCACAATTAAAAATGCTGTACTTGTGATTTCTCCCGTCTATTAAAAGCTGATGGGTGTGGCCTTGGGCTTTGCTTGTCAGCATCCTTACGCGACGTCCGCCTGCCATTTGCGCCTGAACGTCTTGGGACACGTAGATTTCGTGGACGTGTGGACCTGGGGGTGTCTTGGTTGCAACGCCTGTTCTCAGATGTAACATTCCCTGGATAATACAATGGCGTTCATAATGTTACATCATCCCTTGATATTAAAAATACAATATCAACGATGTTATTAATTTTAGTTAACGTAAATGACTGTCATTCTACAGTGACAGTGGTCTTTCCTCAACATTAAAACCAAGCCCATCGCCTTATCCGGGGGAATTCCTTTCACAAATCTGAGGATGTATGCGTGATAGAGTATGAAATTGTGCAATATTCCAGCAATATCACGGTGGGGGAACACCAGAAATATGTTTTACTCTTGCAACCATGTTGGGAATCGAACCCGGGCTTTCGACGTGACAAGCGACGCTTTAAGCTTCAAACCACTCTATCGCCCTTAAGTTTGAGTGATCTTTGAACTGTTTTTCATATATATCACGACTTATAACGCGTGAGGAGAGCCCGAGGTAAGTCTTTTAGTCTATTACACCCGGAGGAACCTATGGTGCCGTATCGAGTCTTGTGAGTTACTGAGGATCATATCCAAGGTGATCTATTAAGGGACATTATTTTGCACAGTGAACTGGACTTCTGTATTATGTTTAGCACAATCACTGCTAAACCGCTGGTTGCGTTCTGGTGTTTTGGTTACCTTTCCTTTAAATCAGTGTTAGATTTTTCATTGTGTTTTGATAGTTCCATACAAATGTGGAATCCGTCTTGCCCAGGCATAAACAACACGTTTTATTCCTATTGTCAACGTACTCAGCCTTATTGCCGCTTGTTGACCCGTGAAAATCCGGGTTAGAATTGGTCTTCAGTAACCCATGTTTATCGTAAGAGGCGACTAACGGGATCAGGTGGTTAAGCTCGCTGACATGTTTAACACATGTCATCGCATCCCAATTGCGTAGATAGATATTCATGCTGTTGATCACTGGATTGTATGGTCCAGATTCGATTATTTACAGACCGCCATCATATAGCTGGGATATTGCTGAGTGCGGCGTTTAACAACAAACAACAGACATATTGCCGCTTGCTGCTATATGTTCATGTTTGACATCCAACAAACACGAGTGACCCGTTAATAACGACGCACCATTAATCTGCACCATTCTCACCTGTAAACTGCATCTCCAGGCTACTGCACTTGCATGATTAATTATAGGTGCGAACATTTTGGCAATATTGGTAATGTTGTCTCACCGTATGGCTGCCGTCCATGGTTGGAGGTTCCTCAAACAGTCCTTTGTACTTCTCGATGTCCATCATCATGTCCTTGAGAGCGTCAAGTTCCTTCCAGACGCCAGACCCCTCCCCATGGATGGGAGCGATGGGGTACCGCATCCTGATCTTTCCCATCCCCGGGATATTGGGGAGCAGGACCCTTGGCCCCGAAGCCGCCACTTGCTGCACCTTTCCGTGTTTGTCCAGTACCCCAACAATGCTGGCATGATTCAATGACACCCCTTGGCCCGAGAACAACGTCGGAGGAGTACGGTAGTAGGCGTGGTAGCTGGAGCCGTTGTATGCCGTTTGGGGCGTGTTGCCTCCCACCCTTTGCTTGTTGGGCCCTTGGGAACCCTTTGACCAGAAGTCCAAGTTGAAAGGGTTCCAGCTCAAAACGGGGGTCAGGTAGATCACCTCAAGGGGAACGGCGTAGGAGTAGCGCCGAGACCAGGACTGGCACGTCTAGATATACGAAAAAAACATTAGTTGCCTAGAACTTTAAAGTGAACGTTTGACGCCACATAAAACGATATTCCCTCCGTCGTATGACGGGGCACAGCACGAAGGGATTCTCACAACAACCTGTAACAACAGACCAACCCTCCCTACCTCCTATACATTACAAGGGCGTCCTATTGTCAATTCATGAAAAAAACAGTATGCAAGCTACATCGAATTATCGATTATTACAAACCAAGTTGTAATCCCCTGGGAGTAATTTACGTTACTGTTTATCAGCGTAACGAAGTGCTAATTGATTTACAGCAACCACTGAAATCGATACATCTGAGGTTGAATGTAAACTGCCGGGAAAAGAACGAATACACCCATGTTTGATGGTGGGTAAAATTAAACACAAACAGGTAAATTTTATTCCATGGTGGTGTATTTGATGTAAGTACCGTAGTGAGTGAGTTTAATTTTACGCCGCAACATCACGGCGATGGACAGAAGTGGGCTTCACGCATTGTACCATTGTTGGAATGGAAACCGGTCTTCAGCGTGACGAACGCCCATGATCCATGACTCTTTTTAGACAAGTAACATTTTGATAATGTTTGTAACGCTTTGCTCAAACGTAATTTTCAGTGTATAATTTCTTTCAGTTACGTTCCCCGAGCCCAGTGCGGTATTCATCTTCCAACCTAGGCGAGCCAGCGTGATGGTTCAAGATCGTGTTCGAGGGTCTTCTTGTTGAAGTTGATAAAGCTGGAATAGTACTTACACTCGCTTTAAACATTATTCAATAACGCTTGTTCTTGTAATTCCATTGTAGTTTTCTTGAAACATTCTGATCGGTGGTTTATCATTTTTTATTGGTCATGCACTTCGCGTACCGAAATAACCCTTTAAATAATTAAATAAACTCAGAAACAATTATTGAAGCTGTTTCTGTCGAATACTGCAAGGCGTTTGAGTGAGTGAGTGAGTGTTTAGACATATTCCGGCAATATCCCGGTGGGGACATCTGGCATGGGGATCAATACCCATTCATTTTGGGAATCGAACCCGGCCCTATAAAATATCTGAAATGCCAAACCTTGTGTTTAGAGACAGGGTTCACTGTGCACTGCTCCACTTTCATGGGGGATATCTCAGACTGGGTGGTCTGCGCCACAAACAGGCTCATATCGGAGAAGCCGCGATGCATCAGCTGTTCTTTAGCTCCACCTTTCCCAACCTTGTACCACCGGTGGTAGTTAGCTACAAAAAACATAGAAAAAGCAAATAGTATAGACACGGAGTGCGATATTAGTTGCAGCTTGAAGCGCCCATAAAATTACGTGTTTTGACGCATACCACGCTCTCTGGTAATATAAGCGTTACAGCAGACAATGTAAGAAAATGTAGAATCCCGACTATATTACGAGCATGCGTTTGGGTGTTTGTTTGTTTGTTTATTTAACGCCTCACTCGTCAATATTACAGCTTTATGACTGTGGTCTGTAAATAATCGGGTCTGGGAGAAATTCTTTCCTCCTTCACAGAAATATGTGCTTACGCATGAGACCTGGGTGCCGTTGCACAAAACAACCTTATCGCTAACACTACCTTGCGTGTATGTTAAGGTATGGGAGTTGTGGTCACCTTAGCCCTAAGATCGCTTTGTACAACGGCACCCAGATCTCATGCGTAAGCACATATTTCTGTGAAAGAGGAAAGAATTTCCCCCCAGACCCGATTATTTACAGATTACTGCTGATTACTGGGTTCACACACCTGTGTTCATTGGGGCGTTGTCTGAGACGTCATACAGTTGTTGGCCAAAGACGTCCTCCTTCAGATTGGCATTGTAGTTGTTCAAACCGGGAATTTCGCTCATCAGTTCGTCCAGCAGTGTGTAGTTCCTTCCCCTGAAAGACAAACGATATATGAAGAAAGATTTATGACATACAAGCTAAAAGTGGACAGAAATCACTCAAGCGGGACCAAAACTTATCTTGGCCCTCTACCGTTGACCTACGATCTACATTTTATTGCATGTAAAAGCAGAGGTGCAAAAACAGGAAATTGGTAACAAATGTTAAAAGTCAATAAACAATGTGTTAGTTTTCTATCATGTCATATGTTTTCAAATATCGATTAAGGGGCATAACATGGAGTCTTACTTGGCGATCTGAACACGAGCATTACTTTCTAAAACCTAAATCTATTCTTGTCAGAAGTCTGCTCAGAAAATTAATTCAGTCCATTTGTAAACAATCTGTCAATAATTTTGCATCTTTTGGAAGTAATTAAACTTGTTCTTCATGAAACAATCATTGTTGGAGCTTCACCTGGTGATGGTATTGGTTTGTACAGAATAAACTGTCCCTGTCCCTTACTAAGGTATTTTATTTTTAAGCAAATTGTCAATAATTTTGCATCTGTTGCGATGTTAGTAAAAGTATTCTATATGAAACAATCCTTGTTGGGGCTTCACCTTGTGATGGTACCGATCTGTAGAGAATATACTAGACCTGTCCCTTAATGATTGGAGCTGACCAGTACTTTAAACTAGCATGCACTTACTCATCACCATCGAAGAGAGAGAATCGTGCTGCTGGGTCGTGAAGTAACTGGCTCTTGGTCTGACCTCGTGAAATTCTTGCAGACAGGTCATCTTGGAGATTGAGATACTTCAAGGGAAGGTCTCTAGTCAGAGGATGGCACAGGATGCGATAGTTCCACTGGGCAAACACGGGCTGGCCGTTTACCACTTCCATGATTGTAGTCGGGAGGAAGGCGAAGTTCTCCTGGAAGCTCTTGCTCCCCGAGTACGTTGTGAACCTGACCTTTTCTTGAAGGTCTTCCCAGCTGGTGGCGTCGATGGCGTGCCTGTCGCTGCTGAAGGGCTCTTGGATGTGTGTGGTGTTTTGGGTCCATGCTCCTTCCATGTAACACAGGACGGGTTTGAAGTACTTCCGGTAGTCCCGGACGCTGTGGTTCTGATCTTGCCAGGCTTTGAACCATGCTTTCATTTCCGCCACCTGTGACGGACAATGATTAAATATACATAGCGACAAAACTATTTGTATCATCCTGAAACCTCTGCCAAACACAGGGCCTGCTGCACGACTCCAAACACGCCATAAACACGTGTGTGGATCGCCATTAGACATCTAGTCTCTGTGACATTGCATATAAAAGGACACTTATCAAATTATGTTATTGAAATAGAATATATAGGAATTAAGAGACACGTGTCCTTTTCTGGAACTGCAGTAAACCAGACTTGCTTGGGCTGTTTTCGGGATATTTGTTTCAGGGACCTAATGACACACTAGAATTGATAGCAAACAGTTATGATACCAGGTGTTCGTGCGCGCGCTCACACACACACACGCACGCACGCACGCGCAAGCCCACACGCACATACAAATACATGCGCAAGAACGAATGTGCAGGTCGGAACAATATCGAATTCATTCATTCATTCAATCATACAGGAACACGCGCAAGAGCGTTTACGAACATCGCTACAACATGCTTTTATATTGAACCACATCATTCATCCATCCACTCATTCATTCATTCATTCATTCATTCATTCAACGAGATTCAGCTGGCTTTATTATTTAAGTATTTTATTATTTATTAGAATTTAATTGAAGGATAAATACCAAGAATATTATATTTAACGAACAATGTCCCCATGATACAGCACCCTAAGTAAATATTCTCAAATCACCTGTTCAGGTAGCGTCTTCTTTGACGTCACTTGTGGTGGTACACTGGGAAACGGAATGTCTTCGGTTGCCCGATAGGCAGCAGATTTCCTACTGGGCATGCGCAGTTTATAGTCGTTGTGCCTCGTTCTGAACTCAACACCGTTCATGACCATGTTGACTTCTCCCATTCCTACGGTGCGGTCATAGTTAGCGTGGTCGTGTACAGCAAAAGCAGTTCTGGAAGGAAAGACATTTATTATTAATACGAATTTACACTTATGCACGTATATACGTATAACCAGCGTGTGCGCTTAGTGGATTTTCTTAAAGTGTGGAGATGGGATTTTACTGTTGTATCTACAAGTAGGCTAAGTCCTTATTAAAATACTCTGTCAACAGTAAACAAAAAACACACAAAAACATGTCGCTTATTTAATTTTCAACAAACACTGTAGACAGTGGCACGAAAGCAGGGACATTTTTCGGTGCTTTATTACGAAACCGGAGTGAGTGAGTGACATGGCGGCGGTCTGTAAATAACGGGTCTGGACAAGACATTCCAGTGATCAACAGCATGAGCATCGATCTACGCAATTTGGATACGATGACATGTCAACCAAGTCAGCGAGCCTGACCACCCACTCCCGTTAGTCGCCTCTTACAAGCAAATGCCAAAATAAAATTTGGTATATGTTAGTGACTAGTACAGAGTTACTTCCCTTCCATGATATGCCCATGTCAATGTTGTAAAATGCACAAGGAGGAAGAGAGAGAGGGCAGGAGAGAGGGACACTGAGTGAGTGAGTGAGTGTCCACGATATTTTCACATTATAAAGGGATCTGTTTGGTTGACCTACTTGTATGTGTGCGACTCCGAATCATAGGGTCTCGGGCCGTCGTGGTATTGTCTGATCTGTTTGATGCCGGACTGCCCGTCAGAGCGGATCCTTTCCTCCACGTAGAGCTGCTGTTGTATCATCTGCTGAAGCATGGCCTCCATCTTGACCTTGAAGTTATCCATCCTCACCTGGAGGTTCCCACGTGGGAAGGGTGTGGTTGTGGTGGTGATGTGTACGCGCGCGTACACACACTCAGCCAAGACCAGCAACACGAAACTGGCGTAGCGTATCTGGAAACATAAAACACGCCACCGTAAGTTTCTTGCACGGTGCACTTAGGCTTCAAATCCCTGCGTACCCGTGAAGGTCCGGGTTAGAATATTGATCTTCAGTAACCCATGCTTGTCGTAACAGGCGACTAACGGGATCGGGTGGTCAGGCTCGCTGACTCGGTTGACACATGTCATCGGTTCCTAATTGCGCAGATAGATGCTCATGCTGTTGATCACTGGATTGTCTGGTCCAGACTCGGTTATTTACAGACCGCCACCATATAGCTGGAATATTGCTGAGTGCGGCGTAAAACTAAACTCACTCACTCAAATCCCTGCATTAACTCTGATCGCCAGATATACAAGACACTTCGTGGGTTCATGAACCAGAGAGAACAGCTTTCTAAAACGATTCGACCTCAGTTTTCACCACCTCGATTAGGACACTTCAATTTGTATAAATTAAAAAAACACAAACAGAAGATGAAACATCTTTCCATGTTTTTCCAGGTAGATGCCATAGCGCATAGAAACGACATGATGTATACGACATGGCGTGAGTGAGCGAGTGACTTGAGTTTTACGCCGCTTTCAGCAATATTCCAGCAATATCACGGCGGATGGAAACCAGAAATGGGCTTCACACATTGTACCCACGTGGGGAATCGAACCCGGGTCTTCGGCGTGACGAGCGAATGCGTTGACCACTAGACTATCCCACCTCTCCTGATGTATTGGAGAATCCACAACGATACACTTATTACTTTTGGAATTTGTCATTTGGTTCATTTTCGAGGCACAGAAATCACGATAAGTACTCCTGTTTGAATTCAACGGCCTTAGAAAGTGAACAATGTTGCATTGTGTTTCAATCAAGACACGTGATCTTTGTAGAAGCGTATATGATCGATTTGGATCGATTGTCAGTTTGTTAAACACTACGTCAGCTTGTAGCTTTGTGCAGCGTTTGTGCAGCGTTAGTGCAGCGTTTGTGCAGCGTTAGTGCAGCGACAAGTCCATATCATTTGTTTATTCGGAGCATCACACAGATACTGTGACCTCAGTTCATCCAGTGACTGGCGTCATTTTGGCCGTTCTCACCACAGCCGCGGAGTGATACATATGCTGTTCAATGACGTCACTAACTCACTCACTCACTCACACTTGCTAGTCGAGTAACTGAGGCGTTCACTCCTCTCCTAGATGGACGGGATTCGAATCCCTGGTGAGTTTACAATGCTTTATCGCCTGTACTTACCATTGTTGAATCGCTGGTCCAACTACTCTGACCAAGCTCAGTGGTCTTATATAACGTTGTTCAATCTAAAGACGTCCATTAAGAGATAACCACCAGTTGGTTCCACAATTCCACCCAGTCTGTAGACCTTATCGCCGTCACGAGCACCTGCACGGCTCACAACTTCTTTACCATCATTACGCTTCCAGTTATCAAAAGGACTTATCATTTTTCGATAGTGAAAAGTTAAGTTTCTACTTTGGTACTTTTGAATTGAAAACCTTATCTAAATAGATAATTATACAATTGTTGATAGATTGCTAAAACGTGATAAAACATTAAAATTCATGATTAAATTCTTTTCGCGGCATTTCGAAATTAGTATCAAGGTCCGGTGTGACAGAATTTATATTGAAATTCTTGAGATTCCCAAGCGTATGTTCTTTACATTAACACAAAACGCATTAAAGGAAGTCATCGAACGATATCTAAGGCTGCAACATCTGAAATAACACGTGATCTATATATACCATTAACAAAAGTAAAAGATATTCAATAAAATGGCGTCACAACTATCGATATTTTATATTTTTAATGAGATAGATAGTGTAACAATATATAGATAGTATGACTGAGATTTGCATAAGTCGTTGAACGTCAGATGACCATAGATTTGGTTAGATGATTGCCTTACTGTCCATTGACCCGTGAAGATCCGGTTAAGATTTGATCTTCAATAACCCATGCTTGTCGTAAGAGGCAACTAACGGATCTGGTCCAGACTCGATTGTTTACAGACCGCCGCCATACAGCTGGAATACTGCTGAGTGCGGCGTAAAACTAAACTCACACACGTTCACCCTTACTGTCCATCACGTCATTTACTATTACAAGTCAGTCATTGGTGTCGGGTACGTCAGCCGCTAATCTAAACACATCCCTGATTCGACGAGGCATATTAATAACGCGCCTTTCCAGGCTTCATACCCTGCTCTAAACTGATTATTATATTATTATTATTATCATTATCCCGGATAACCCAAGCTGCCTTGCGAGGCGCAAGGAGGTTTCATGACTTATCCCACCGGGGTAAACTATGAATTTTACCCTGACCATGTTCGCGTAACCAAAGGAATTCATAGTTCACGTGAATGTAATAGTCATTTTCTACATCCATATACAATCAAACAAACTGGTTCCAAAATAATATCACCCCAAATTGGAATATATCCTACTATTTAAAAATTGTAAACAGACATACAATTGTCCACCATAGGTGAAAATACTTTCGAAAATATCAGTGATGATAAAACTGGTACGATAATGTAAGTTCTCTCAATAGCGAACCATATTCCACAATACTCTCTCGAAATTCATTAAAATATCCATTGTATGAACTTCAATAGTGAATGGCTACCCAGGTTCCATTAACTTTGTTCGTTGTTGAACGCCAAACTCAGTGATATTACAGCTATATAAAACTTTTGTCTGTAAATAATCAAATCTAGACAAGACAATCCAGTGATCAACATCCTGTTAGATTCGCATCGATCTACGAGCATTGGGATTGACATGTAACCCGGATCAACCAAGTCAGCGAGCGTCGTGCTGACCACCGACGATCGTGTGTTAAGGCAGTCGCCTCTTTTTTATACGAGCATGGGGTGCTGAAGACCGATTCTAACCCCTTGTTGATCTTCACGGGTAGGGACCCAATAATATTTTAACTCGTTGGCTGGCTATGCTTATAGGCTAAAATGGGAACACTAGACGTTGGAAATGATTTGACACCAGAGAAGAAGCATGTAGAGCCCCTTGGGTAAAGATACAACTGTTTCCTATGACATATGGTACAGTGCCCATGTTAACCTGTGTTTCCATAGATACATGTTCCTGTTACAATCGGAGACGGGAGTGTCTCGCGGTGTGTATAGTTCAGCCAAAACATTATCATGCATTCCGTTAAATCTGATTTCTTCATTTTATCTCATAAGAACAGAATAACCGAGATTCCAGTTTAACATAATAGCCCACTAAGGCACATATACTGACTTCGCGCTTGTTTCAAACCTGTTATGCGGAACGCAAGGTAGCGGAAACAGCGTCTGGTTCGATTCCCGGGTTTGTGATAAAGATGTCGACAGATGGTAGTTGTTGTTGCTACCCAGCCTGGCGCATGAATCGGATAACATAGCAACTGGTCAGCATATTTTGTCTGAGTGAAATATTCATGTTAAAATTGTCTGACTGACATTCTAAGGTCCGGGTTAGAATTGAACTTCAGCAATCCGCCGTAAGAGGCAACTAACGGGATCGGGTGGTCAGGCTCGCTGACTCGGCTGAACCATGCCATCGTATCGATGAACATAGATCGATGTTCATGCTGCTGATCACTGGACTGTCTACTCCAGACCCGATTATTTACAGACCGCAGCCATAAAGGTGGAACATTGCTGAGTGTGGCGTTAAACTAAACTCACTCACTGTTAAAATCTTTTGAAGAAAGATATTTTATATTTACGCTCTGAATTTACTCAGCAAACCTATTTCAATGTTATTTAAAGTGCTGAATGCAATTGTTTGGTATAGGACTCGTTGAGTATTCGGTTTATGAGAACATAAACTACCGGACAAAAGCAGGTTATTATTTTTGATGTAATTGCATAAAAACCGAAAACGCCGATACAGGTTTTCGCAAAAAAGCAACATGGTCCCGATAACAACGCAGCTGTCCGAAAACTTCGTATGAATCGTGCATTTTTCAAATGCTCGTGCATGATTGTGGCATAAATACCGATGTTGTGTAGAGCAAGCATGCAGCAGCAAAAAATCCACCACGAATATGCCAAGACTTACGCAAGCCCAACGAGACAGGGCGATCGGTATGTCCAATATGGTGGCTTCACAACGTCAGCAGGCAAGAACCGTCCACTGCAGCCAGGCCACCATCAGGAAATTGGTAAACCAGTGCCAGCAAACAAGCCAGACCCATGACCGCCCAAAATCGGGAAGACCACGAGTCACGACACCCGTCGAATACTGCTACACCCGGCAGATCCACCTCCGGAACAGATTCGTGACGGCGACGACAGCACTAGGACACGCCATCAGCAGACGAACAGTCCTTCATCGACTTGGTATGGCTGGTATACGTGCCCTTCAGTGGAATGGCCTTGACCTGTCTATACCGTCAAGGCAGACTGCAATGCATTATTGGCATGAACTGTACGTCGGTGGCAGCCACGTGACTGGGTGAAAATGCTCTTTACAGATAAAAGTCGGTTCAGTCGGTTCTGAAACGATGGCAGAGTTCGACTTTTTCGACGTAGAGGAGAACGTCTGGCGCTAAATGCGTTTAGGAAATTCATCCGTTTGATGGAGAAGGTGACATGGTATTGGTAGGCATTAGTGGCCAGAGAACAGGAATTCTGGTTATCTGAGGAAATCTGAATGCCCATCGATACAGAGCGATACAGTGTTGAGACCTTTTGTGGTGACCTTTTTTTGACAACAGCCAAGAGGAGTCATTTTGCAGCACGACAACGCAAGGCCTCACGCCGCCAGAATTGTTCGAGAATACCCGCACAACGTTAACGTCAACGTATTGCCTTGGCCAACGCGTTGTCCAGACATGAACCCATATAACATCTCCGGGATAATCTTGATCGTCAGCTGAGACAGCGTGAACCACCTCCAGTGAACCGATTGGAACTTGAACAGACTCTCTTGGACTTATGGAACAGCATTCCTGCTGACGTCAACCGTCGACTGATGACGTCAATGGCGTGTATGGATGCCCATGTTGGTCACACTCACTATTGATGACGTGTCCCTCTGACTCCTGTTTCATTATATAACTCTATATAACTTTTTGAATGAACTCTGATTTGTGTAATGTTTAATTTTGACCCCTTGACTTGCGGCAAATGCAGGACCGGCATTACAATGGATTTTCAATCAAATTATTGGAAAATTATTTCTGTGTGTAAAATCATTATCATAAATGTCACATATACGTCTTTGTTTCTACTTTTTGGTCAAGTGAAATCGGTGATAACTTTCTTTTGCCCGGTAGTTTACAATGATACCGATTAATTACGAGAATGTCATTGTATTTCATCGCAGCACTTAAACCAAAATCGTGCTAACTGCACGACACAGAGTACAGACACAAAACTTTGTGTTCACACAAGCGTTATTACTTCAGATCATGACTGTCGAAGGGAAACTTGACGTCAAGAATTTGGCTTTTTTAATATCCTCTTTAAGCGTGAAGAACACATAGTGTCTAAGATACACTCTATAACAAATAACTATTCTCATCTACAATTCGATTCGGTGAAATCAGCTACATCAACTCCAACGCTAGTTGTTTCATTAGCTCAGAAGTCAATGATAACTTCACTGAGACGCCAGTGATGACATATTAACTCTAACGCCAATGGTGACGTCAACTACGTCGCCAACGTCGTGGTGACATCAACTCCAACGCTAGTTGTTTCATTAGCTCAGAAGTCAATGATAACTTCACTGAGACGCCAGTGATGACATATTATCTCTGACGCCAATGGTGACGTCAACTACGTCGCCAGTGGTGACATCAACTCCACATCAACTCCAACGCTAGTTGTTTCATTAGCTCAGAAGTCAATGATAACGTCACTGATGACATCAACGACAATGTCAGTGATACATCTACTCCGATGCCAGTGTGACATCAGTTCCGACGTTAGTGTGAGGACATATTAACTCGGACGACAATGGTGACATCAACTCCGGCGCCAATGATTACATATCAACTCCGACGCCACTGGTGGAATGAACTCCGATGCCCGTGGTGACATCAGCAATATCTAGCACTGGACTCGACGCCCAACTTCTTTTGAAGTTAGTTGTTATATCTTCAAATCCAAAAGCACCGGCTCCATCCTCACAGACTGCGAAGTGTGCGACCTCCCTCTCCGTTCTTGCTTGCCGAGATTCAGGTAATTTTTGGGTGAAACCTTGCCATATACCAGTCTGTCGAAAGCAATTGTGTACTCTGCTGTTTCTTCATACTTTGGACATATACTATAGAAATTGTATTCTGAAGATTATTCTCTTTTATTACCAAGGTATGCTACGAGAGTACAAGTTTACAAGGGTGGACATGCCATTGCACTCAGAAACGACAAGAGAAGATAATTATTCATCTCTGGCATTCGGATTTCCAACATTCAATTCGTGTTTGTGATATCGAAATCAGATGACTTTCTTCTCAATGCTTCGTTTCGACGCTGTTTGAGACGAATTTTCATCGCACCCTACCTCCTACAGAGGTGCTCTCAGATATCCATCAGGTATACTAAAAGAGTGATAGGTCCCATATTAATGAAACTGGTGTTGGAAATACTAGCAGTAACGAAGAATACAAGCTATAAAGGTGTACCGCCTGTAGGCTTTACCCTATATCAAAGTGACGCTTTCTGTTATGCACAGCTCAAATGTGTTGTATAATGCCTAACCCGTGAACAGATTTATTTTACACCGGTAATATTTCCCACGAGGAACTACTTTCTATTACACCGGCAGCGCACGTATATCACCTTACTCCACCGTATATGGTCGATACGTACCGTAACAGTAAACATTACTCTCGTTTCCTGACTTCAAGCATTTACAAAATCCATAATCGATTATCGACTCTACTATGTATATATTCATTTATTATCGATTAAAATAAATATAAACTCTGAACCAATAAAAAACTTGAGGTGTCGTTTGGGAAGCGACGTCGCTCGGACCCACTATACTTATGTCTCGCATAAAATCAACAGTCATTCAAAATATCTGAAATGCACATATCTACATAAAACATGTCTGCCCTCTCCAACATGTCCTAAGAAGATTATTGTGTCTTTTATGGATTACTGAATATGTAATAAACAATTTTTTAGAACGTAGAACCCATTAAGATCTGGCTTAGAATTGATTGACCCGTACACATCCGGGTTAGCATTAGTCTTCAGTAACCCATGCTTGTCGTTAGGGGCGACTAACATTTCTTTTCAGGCTCACTGATATGGTTTCCATATGACATCGACGTCATCGTATCCCAGAGACGAAAATCGATGCTCGTGAAGTCAATCACTGGCACTGGACTGTACGTCTTGTGAATACTCGATTATTGACATATCGCAGTCCAACGATTGGGCCGTTAAACGAGAACCAAGACTGAGGGGTTCCTATACCATTACGACAAAACAGCCGGGATGTATCGGCGATGCAAGACTCTTATCGTTAACCATGCTTACTCGTTTCCACGACCTAAGGGGCATAACTCTCATACCTATTACACAAATCATGCCGCTAAAAATATCATAGCACTGTGATATATTCATGTTCTAACATGTGAACAAATATTCCTATCGTCGCGTCTACATCGTGAAAGAACAGTGAAATTTGATTGGACAGTTAATTTTTATTCCTCGATCCCATGACCTAAGGGCCATAACTCTCATGCCTGTTACACAAATCATGCCGCTAAAAATATTGTCTCACTACAAATGATATATTCATGTGCTAAAATCAGAACAAATAATCCTATCACCCCGTATCCACCGTGAAAGAACAGTGGAATTTGATTGGACGGTTAATTTTTATTCCTCGCTCCCATGACCTAAGGGGCATAACTCTCATGCCTGTTACCCATAGCATATCGCTAAAAATACGAGCTCACTACATATGATATATAATAATATTAATGTTCTAACATGTGAACAAATAATCCAATCACCGTGTCTCCATTGTGAAAAAATAGTGAAATTTTATTGGACGGTTAATTGTTTCGTCATGTCCTGGCCTCGGGTTCAGGGTGGAGATCAGATCCAGGGTAATGGATCCAACTAAATGGAGATTAAATAGTACACTGGAAACCTAAATGCGGTGTACCAACTCACCCCGTCACAAATAATGATCAGTCGCGCTGCTTGAAAGTACACATGTCGAGCAAATGTCAAACCATGAAGCAAAATACCAAAGGCAGGTGAGGACTTGCAATGAAGGTCGGGTCGACATAATGTTATTTTATCTAAATCCGAAACAACATACAGTATTGACACTCGCCAGCATGCGAGAACGCACACAAAACATTTCTTCAACCGGAACTATAAAGGCCGCCAGTTTTTCGATTACATTACATCAGATTGTATTCAGTGTTAATATACACAGCAGACAACGTTAAAACATGAAGAGCGGAGAAGTACAATCTGCGTGGAGATTGTGTTCAAACGATAAATATTAAAAGAATACTGATGATCCGGTTGATTTACTTCTGACTGCCTGTTATTGAAAGTGTTGTGTATCCTGGTAGAACATCCGAGCCTTGACAAGATGTCATAATGGTTTGTCATTTTTTTCCGTGGTATGGACTACTTTTTTCCAACGCGGATGTAGCAATAAGGACTTTGTGTTGTCCGACTCATGTTATTTCAGTGTGATGTGAGTGATTACTGAGTGACGTTTTACGCCACTAACAAGGGACATTATAACGTGGGTTTTTCTAGTATTGCCACTCGAACCAAGGGAAGCAGGTTTCCATCACATTAGTACCGAGTGACCTTGTTCTTGAAAGGAGGTTACATTTTATCGAAAAGTCACAGTGACCCCTCTTTATGGACTGATCTTTGCATTTAAAAAAATTCTCTGTTTATAAAGTGTGAACAGTTACGTTAAAACCTTCATCAACGCAATCAATGCACACTGATGTCTAACAAGAAAAAATAATAACTTCAAAGGCTACATTTTAAAACTATTCAACCATTCATCGTGTACACACACGCACGCACGCACACACAATGCAATTACTTATATAACCAACACGTTGATAACGAACTGACGAATCTAAGGATATAGAAAAGCTTCTTTTGGTATAAGGAACACACTCACTCACGCACACATGTACGCACGCTCTCACTCACGCACTCACGTACGCACGCACGCCCACACATCGCGGTTCCACCAAGGACGTAAATATCTGCTATCTGCATCAATTTGGGATTCACTCTCGCATCAAGTTGACGCCTTGCTATATCCGGGTCTCCTTTCACGAAGCAACCTTTACTAAGGTTAACCGTAACTCCCATTCTTTAACACTGCACTAAGGTTACCTTATTGACTTACGATCACCTTAGTGAATCCCATTTCAGGCGTCCCCCACCGTGATATTGCCTGCCTTTTCCTTAAAACGGCGTAAAAACCCACACTCTCTCACTCCTGTATAAATGTCAACATTTACGTCTTTGCATGCACTTTATTCAGAACTTTAAGAGGACGTTAGTCCATTTTAACAGGGTACAAAGTGGAAGGATGGCCGTCCCAGCATTGGGTCAGTCCGTCACACTGTAGGATGCTGTAGTCGTCTTTGTAGGCTATCACCACCTGGTGGGTGTGACCGAGCGCTTCACCTGTGAACATCGTCTTGTGTTCACCTTTTTTCAGACTGTCCTGAACGTCGTGGGACAAGAAGAGATCATGGACGTGTGGACCTGGTGGGTTCTTTGTTGCCACGCCGGTTCTCAGGTGTAGCGTGGTCTGGATAATACAAAATTATCATTAAATGTTTTTGTTGACTACCCATGAAAAGTTTAGACTCACCTAAAGCACTCACTATATGCTATGTTTATATATAGTTACATTGAAGATGAATTTCTCTACTAACTTTGGGGAACCGACTGCAAACTTTATGCGGATGAATTGCACGAGGATCATGCATCAAATTACGAAAAGCATGTGCAAATATCGTTCGTGTGAACAGCTGCGTTTTTGTGTATTTTTTTTTAAAGAATTTGCCAATTTTCAATGATTTTCATGATTAACTGAACTCATGACAATAATCTTTTCAACGTAACGAGTTTGTTTTACAATACATTGGTTCATGCGTAAAGAGTACCTTTAAACTGATTGGAATATTTTGCAAATTCAAGTTTAGAACAGTTGACTGAAGTAAGTGGCTATATTTACACTAGTGAGTCTAAACTTTTGAGGGGTAGTATAGTAAAGATGTTCAGAAGATGCATCAATAAATATATTATTCATAATGAATGAAATACTAGTATGTCTTTTAAATATTTAATTGAACCGCACCTGCATACTAAATTACCGTTGTAATTATATTTGGTAATACTCACATCAACGGGTTTGGCAACGGTACCAGTGTCCTTGAGGGCGGGGGTTATCAAACAGTCCTTTGTACTTCTCGATGTCCATCATCATGTCCTTGAGAGCGTCAAGTTCCTTCCAGACGCCAGACCCCTCCCCATGGACGGGGACGACGTGGTACCGCATCCTGAGTCTCCCTATCCCCGGGATATTGGGAAGAACGATCCTAGTTCCCGATGCGGCCGTGTGATGGAGATTCCCTTGTTCGTCCAGTATCCCAACATTCGACTTGGTGGTGTCGGCAGGATCTGATGACACTTCTGTGCCTGTGAACATCTGAGATGGTGTGTGGTAGAAGTTAACGCCGCTTGTGCCATTGTATGCCGTTTCCTTCGTGAAGCCTCCCACCCTTAGTGGATCTTTTTGCTGTTTTCCCTTTGGCCAGAACTTCAGGTTGAATGGGTTCCAGCTGAACATGGGGGTACTCCAGATGATTTCTAAGGGAAGGGCGTAGGAGTAACGGCGAGTCCAAGACTGGCACGCCTAAACATGTAACAAGAACAGTTATTTCCTAGAATGTAAAGCTAACGTTTTATGCCGCATAAACAATACTCCGTCCATAATATGACTGACTGACTGAGTTTGGTTTTACGCCGCTTTTAGCAATATTCCAGCAACATCACGGCGGGGGACACCAGAAATGGGCTTCACACATTGTACCCATGTGGGGATTCGAACCCGGGTCTTCGGCATCCGTCCATATTATGACGGGCAAGGGTGGATACAGCTTTTTGAGAAGGGGTGGGTGGGGGTGGGAGTGCACACTATTGAGACAAGGAGGAGTGCAGACTTCATTTTCACCCGAGTTTCAATGGACTTTCAGGCCAAAAGGGGGGTGCGCACCCCTAAACCGCCAATGGACGGGGTACACCAAGAAGGGGATTCGAACATTGTACCTGCAACACCTGGGCTAACCAACCCCTAACTCCTAAAAACGTAGTCAACGTACGTAATTTATGGTAACGTAATTTGGGTTTCAATGATTATGGTCAATGACCATCACGTAATAGACTTCTAACTTTCAGATGAAAGTCGATATATCGGATAAACAAAAAGAAAGATACGCCCTTGTTTGCGGTGGCTAAACCAACAAGAAAGTGTATTTGAGTGAGTGAGTGAGTTGGGTTTTACGCCGTGTTTAGCAATATTCCGGCAATATCACAGCAGGGGAGACCAGAAATGGGCTTCACACATTGTGCCCATGTTGGGGAATCTAACCGGCCCTTCGGCGTGACGAGCGAACGCTTTAATCACTGGGCTACCCCACCCCGGTGTATTTGACCTTACACTTATGGTTGTGTTTTCCATCTTAAGTCTTTTTGATAAAGTTTGCAATTTTCTGGTTGAATTTAATTTTCAAGGTTTCATGTTTTCTTTGGAGGGCTTTTAGAATCCTTGAACCTAGTCCGGTTTCCACCTTCTTATTTGGGCAGCCTAAAGGTTAAAGGCAATGTCACACATTTTCGACAATATTTTGGCCTATACTTTATATATTGGGGGCATATACACTCACTTTAGCTTCCTATTGATGCAGTAAAAGACTTATTATCCCTCGAGACTTGCATGAAATCGATAACTGAAACTTCGAGGCGAACAGCTTCCAAACAGATAACAGTTGCCATAAATGGAATGTAAACGATTGCTCCGTACATCGAAAACTGACGCACGGGGTGTTGTCGGTGTTTGCTGAAATGGTTTCAGTCACAATTTGCGTTTTATGTTATAGGATATTCGTAAAGGGCGTGCCAAGGGACATAACTCTATGGGATTCGCTTGAAATAATGTTCGGCCGGTAGAGGGCGCAAGAGTCGATTTAATGCAATTTAATATTACAGTATAAATACGATTTTTTTTTAATAGATTATATGGTAGCTTCCCTGAGGGCTGATAGTATGATTGAGAGAAATGCATTATGTATTTTTAGAGAAATGTGGTGTGACATTGTGCCTTTAAAGAACAGTTTGATTCTCATATTTGGGACTTCTCTTGGTTGATGTATAGCTTACGCTGGCTTAAAACTGCACTCTCTTGTCCATTTAACTAATTGTGGCTTTTTTCAAACGACCTGAGCGGTAGTTAACTATTTCGGCTCTTCACGTGAGTGAGTGAGTGAGTGAGTGAGTGAGTGAGTGAGTGAGTGAGTGAGTGAGTGAGTGAGTGAGTGAGTGAGTGAGTGAGTGAGAGTGAGTGAGTGAGTGAGTGAGTGAGTGAGTGAGTGAGTGAGTGAGCGAGCCGATGCGGAAATATCACTGGATGGGACATATGTCATATGGGACTTCAGACACTGTATCCATGTGGGGATTCCACCCCGACCCCTTCAGTGTACATTTTCTGAAGTGCCACACCTGCTTGTTATTGACTGGGTCCTGTCTACACTGTTTCACGGTCATGGGGGCTATCATTGGTTGACTGGTCTGCGCCACCCACAGGTTCCTGTCCGAGAATCCACGGTGCGCCACCTCTTGTTTCGATCCAGGTTTCCCCACCTTGTACCACCGGTGGTAATAAGCTGGAAAAATAACAAATACGTTTATGTCGACCTGTCGGGAAAAGCGAACTGCTTTTTAGCCCCGCCCACCTGCTGTACATTTCAGTCTAAATGCGCATAACGAATTACGCATAACGAACTAACGGGCGGTGGGATAGCCTAGTGGTTAAAGCGTTTGCTCCTCACGCCGAAGGCCCGGGTTCATTTCCCCAAATAGGTACTATGTGTGAAGTCCATTTCTTGCGTCCCTGTAATGGATATTGCTGGAATATTGCTAAATGCGACATAAACTAAACTCACTCACTCACTCATAACGATCTAAACTTAGTGACGACCTTTGGCCACTGTTTCAACCGTAAATAACTGTAATATTGAACAAGTTTTATGGTTGTCACCGGCTTGACAACGGCACAAGAATCTGTATCGAAACGTAGCAACTCACTAAATAAAAGAAGTTGTTATCCATAAAGTTTGTTCAATATTGTACTTCCTAACTTCTAAAAGGCCACTCAAATAAGTTTATTGTAATGCCAAACAATTACATATTATGCACACGGAGTGCACAATTTGCTTTATCTCGAAGCGCCCTAAAACAAACTTTGCGTACACATACTGAGCGCTCCAGTTACTCCTGTGTAACAAGCAAAACATATGACAAAATCGAGTGATCTAATAAACACTGCCTCAGCTCTTCAACTGCATGTATCTATCTTGTTTACAGCGGGTGCCAGTCACAGACTGTTAGACAGCATCACCCCGTTTCACAAAGCATTCTTAGAACTACGACCGTCCTTAGTCTGTGTCCAAATCTGTGACTTTCGTGAACGGAGCACAGGTCAATTGCAGAAATGCAGCTGTACAAATTGATTGAAATATACATAGTGATAGTCATTAATAAACATATTGTATGATTGAAACGGAAATTCAAAATGGACTCTGCTTTTAAAGAAAAGCTTGTTGCTTTATTATTAATTCTTCATTTCTACAGGAGTGTAAAGGGGTAGTCTTGTGGGTAAAGTGTTCACACAGAAGACCGTGGTTCAATTCCCACATGGAAATAATGTGTGACATCTATTTTGTTATGAAAGCAATATAAACTCCTGAACGTACAGTGGATCATAGTTACTCACTATAAATTAGAATATGTTTAAAGAATACACTCGTTCACTGAAAAAATATGTTGGGTCCGAAAGAAATTCTGTTAAGGGTCCGAAAGAGATTCTGTTCCCTTCCTTTCCGAGAATAATGTAAACTGTCTAAAACATAAAATTTGAATTGAGGCATGAGTTCTTGGCTGATGAACAGGTAGGATGGACTTACCCGTGTTAAGGGGTACGTTGCCTGGCTTTGAGGCATCGTACAGGGTCTCACCGAAGACGTCCTCCGTCAGATGGGCATAGTAATTATCTTTGCCGGGAATTTCGCTCATCAATTCGTCCATGAGAGTGTAGGTATCATTCCTGATAGACAAACAAACAATATATGTAGAAAGATTGATGATGTACAAACATTCCTAGAAGGTGGGCAGAACATATACTATTCACACTTTGCTAAGGATCAAATAATTGATTCAACAGAAAGCTATGATGTGGGGTCAAATTTGGTTTAAATCTCTAAGCTTATTGTAAGCATGGATCCTAGGTTTCAGTATGTCACTGCATCTTGTGGATCCCATACCTGCTATTGACAGGTGTTGTGTACTTGTCAATGACTCGTTCCATGACATGCAAAATGGTTGATTGATGCCATGAAAACCATGTTTATGGTTACTGATGTATCAAGTGCATAAGGTTAGATTAAAGTGACTGTTTGCCTAAAGAGGGGTTACCATATCATTATTTATCCAGTTTTAAATGGATACAATTTCAAAATATAAATCTACGTTTAAGTAAAGTTGTGAATTTTTGTGATCCTTAGCAAAGTGTGAGTAGTATATCTTTAAAATGGAACCATAAATTCTGTTGGGCTCTATATTGTTGACAGTTTGTTAGGGACCCAAGCGTAGTTGTGTGATTTCTGGCAGAGTTATGTCCCTTACACGTGCTAAGATCCGATGATCGTGGGTTCGAGCACCATACGGATTGTCGCGAATATAAAAACATTAAACAAAATAGGGAGACCATTTGTAAACATTAAATAATGCCCTTCAAGATGGACCAGTCCAGTCAAACCAATGTTTACCTGTCGTCGTATATAGCAAATCTTGCTGATCGGTCCAGATAGAACTGCTCCATGCTCTGACCATGAGCAAATCTCACAGAGAGGTCATCTTGAAGATGGATGTTCTTCAAGGGAAGGTCGTTCTTCAGTGGATGGCACAGGATACGGTAGTTCCACTGGGCGAACTCGGGCTTGCCATCTTTCACATCCAAGATTTTGGTTGGGAGGAAGGCGAAGTTCTCCATGACGTTCTTTGTGCCGGAGTAGGACGTGAACCTGATCTTATCCTGAAGGTCATGCCAGCTGGTGGCGTCGATGGCGTGTCGTTCGCTGTGGAACGGCTCTCTGAAGTGATTAGTGTCAAGGGTCCAGGATCCTTCCATGTAACACAGGAGGGGTTTGAAGTACTTCCTGTAGTCTCGGACGCTGTGGTCTTGATCTTTCCAGGCTCGGTACCATTCTCTCATTTCCGCCACCTGTCACAGAAATAATGGTACTAACTAAAAGAGGAGTAAAATCGACAGAACCATTTCCAACGTCAGCAACTGACACTTAATATACTGAGAGAAACAAATAAAGGAACACGGGGAAATTCAAGCGTTCCTTTAATATTTTCCAGTTTTCATCACCAGCTTTGAATAGCGCTGTGGGAGGAAATCTGAGAATAAATATGGAACACTGCATGTAGTGGTGTTACCTTACTTGTTTCCCTCAGTATACATGGGACCCTATTTCTCTGTTTTTTGCACTTCACTAGCCATCACTGTTATTGTACGAGCCATTGTCTCTGGCCTCTCACGCATTTTGTATGTCAATTGTCACAGCTAATAATTGAAACAACGAGCAGGAACACACGTGAGTTGAAAATTATGGATTTTTGGTGTATGTGGTCTTTAACTTTTATAAAAACGAGAGAGAGAAAATGAAAACAATGGTTTTGTTTAGATTGTAAAACAGATAGAGGCAAACTTTCAAATCATTAAATGTGGCTTCAGTGTTTTAGGAAATAATACGGACAGAAGTTTATGAAATTAGCATTATAGATTCAACTCTACGTTAAAGATGTTTATCGCACACAGTCAAATCGTGTGACAAAAAGCACCCTAACCTCTCTCTCTCTCTCTCACTCACACACAAGCACACACACACACACACACACACACACACACACACACACACACACACACACACACACACACACTGAAAAGACTAAGGATTCCTTAATCACCTGTTCAACGAGTGTTTTCTTTGACGTCACTTCCTTAGGTACTTCTGGGAACGGAACGTCCTCAGAAAGCAGATACGTTGTACCATTCGTGGCGGGTCTACGTAGTTTGTAGTCGTTGTGCCTCGTTCTGAAGTCAATGCCGTTCATGACCATGTTTACTTCTCCCATTCCAACGGTGCTGTCGTAGTTAGAATGGTCGTGAGCAGCTGAAGCTCCCCTGAAAGAATACAATTTGTGCACACTTGCGAAAAGCTGGATTGCTTTGCGGGGTTACACGGAATGTGAAGTCTGTTTTATACTATTATCAAGTGTGAGTGAGTGAGTTTAGTTTTACGCCGCACTCAGCAATATTCCAAAGGCGGCGGTCTGTAAATAATCGAGTCTGGACCAGACAATCCAGTGATTGACATCATGAACATCGTTCTTCGTAATTGGGATATGATGACATATGTCAACCAAGTCAGCGAACCTGACCACCCAATCCCGTTAGTCGCCTCCTACGACAGGCATGGGTTACTGAAGACCAATTCTAACCCGGATCTTCACGGGTACCATTATCTAGTAAATAAATAGATACGGAAGAGATACCAACAAAAGGACTGAATGCAACACAAGCCCAGAAACCCAAGTCCCTCATTTGAAGTGGTCAGTTATATGTTAGTATCTTTGGAACAGAGTTGCTAAAGAAGTGTTTTGTTTGAGTGAGTGAGTGAGTGAGTGAGTGAGTGAGTGATTGAGTTTAGTTTTCGTAGGTGTAGGGACAACTCCTTAAGTCTGAGAGGAGGTGGGGTAGCCTAGTGGTTAAAGCGTTCGCCCGTCACGCCGAAGACCGGGGTTCGATTCCCCACATGGATACAATGCGTGAAGTCCATTTCTGGTGTCCCCTGCCGTGATATTGCTGGAATATTGCTAAAAGCGGCGTAAACCCAACTCACTCACTAACTCACCCTGACTAACTCACCTGTACGTGTGTGTCTCGGAATAATAGGGTCTTGTGCCGTCGTGGTATTGTCTGATCTGTTTGATACCGGACTGTCCATCAGATCGGATTCTTTCCTCTACAAACGTCTGCTGCATCATCAGCTGACGCAGGATCTTGTCCATCTGTACATAGAACTCATCAATCTGTTTCTGGTAGTCGGCCTGGGGGAAGGGTGTGGAATCACCCCACACAGTCAAGACCAACAGGGCGAAACTGGCGTAGCGGATCTGAAAACATGGAACATGCAATGAACTTAGCCTCTATTTTCAGCCTCATTAAAATCAGCACTGAACTAACGTTAATCGCCCAATCTGAAAGAGTCGCCTTGGGTTCATGGCGCAATCAGCTTTTTGAAACGATTAAACTGAATTTTCACCCCCTCAATTTACATTTTTCGCTTTGTACAACTGAAAACCCAAATGGAACACAACTGTTCTTGGGCGTAGATTCGATAACGCTCAGAAACGACATGATTCGTGAAATATACACCACCAATAATTTCAACTTTCAGAGTATCATTTTGTTTCGTTTTCGAGATAAAGAAATCGGATTGACTTCATTAAATGTTCGCTGACTCGTACCGAGAATTAGCAGGCCGATCAAATAGTTCCGGAGATGCAAGGATGTATCGTTATTGAGTAAAAGATCTGAATTTGCATATATTCTTCTTCTCCAAGAACGGCCACTGAATTATTAATCAAATATGTGGTTTATTTAGTTAATTGTGTTCAAATAATGCACTCCCGGTCATTATATTGTCTTATGTTTTGGTACATATTGCTATTCTAGGCATTTTATCGTCTGCGTGGCCCTGGTTAATGATCCTTGATTTGGTACATATTGTCGTCGGGGGAAATACCTACAACCTGCACCACTTCGGTATTACGACGTCGGACCGAACTCAGTCACTCAAATTTGCCTATAAGGCAACCGAGTAGTTTCTGCTTTCACTGATGACTGGGGTTCGAATTCCACATATATGTAGAATGCTTTGTCGCCTGTACTTACCATTGTTGAGTCGCTGGGCCAACTACTCTGACCAAGCTCAGTGGTCTTATATAACGTTGTTCTATCTAAAGACGTCCATTAAGAGATAGCCACCAGTTGGTTCCACAATTCCACCCAGCCTGTAGACCTTATCGCCGTCACGAGCACCTGCACGGCTCACAACTTCTTTACCATCATTACGCTTCCAGTTATCAAAAGACTTATCATTTTTTGATAGTGACAAGTTTGGGTTCTACTTCGGGACTTCTGATTCAAAACCTTGTCTTAAGAGATACGCAAACGGCGATATGTTGATAACAGATGATAAAACATTAACATACATGTTGACGAAATTAGAACCAAGGTCATGTGAGTTAAGACATTTGGAAATTCTTGAGATTCTTAAGTGTATGTTCTTTACGATAATACCCGTGAAAATCCGGGTTAGAATTGATCTTCAGTAACCCATGCTTGTCGTAAGAGGCGACTAACGGGATCGGGTGGTCAGGCTCGCTGACTTGGTTGACACATGTCATCGCATCCCAATTGCGCAGATCGATGCTCATGCAGTTGATCACTGGATAGTCTGATTCAGACTCGATTATTTACAGACCGCCGCCATATAAATTTAGCTGGAATATTGCTGAGTGCGGCGTAAAACTAAACTCACTCACTCACACTTTACGACAATACTCGAACTTGTAGGAAACCGTCGAGCTGTACCCAATGGACTTTAGCAACATATAATAAAGTAACCTTTATTTTCAATTTGATTAAAATCACATAGAAATGGCAGGTAACTACCAGTGGTCCAGCAGATAGCGCGTCAGTCCGGACAGCGGTATTATGGTTGTTCGATTCCCGACAGCGTCATACAATTAGACGTTAAAGATGATAGCCTTCATTTTCAGTTTTATCAGAGTGACATAGGGATCCATGGTAGGTAACTACCAGTAGGCGCTCCGTGGTACAGCAGATAGGGTGTCAGCCCGGACAGGGATGACATGGTTGTTCGATCCCCACAGGGAAAGCTATTTGTTCCTACCTGTCGTTTGGCATTAAGTGACTAAAGGACTGATCGGCCCGGGGCAGTGTCATGACTCTGAGCTTAATTATCCTTTTTCTCGAGACAAGGGAGTTAACAGACGATATATACATTGTACTGTTAGTAAGTACACTCTCTTGTCTTTGGGAGATGCATGTACCAGCAAATTTAAACGCATTGTGTTTACATCATCGCTAGTCCTTCAGATACATGGTCGAAACTCACGAATGGAGATTCTTTAGATACTTTCGTTTAATCTTGGTAGACCTCGTATAGTGAAAACAAAAATCCAAATTTACTATTGCGAGGCAGGAACTCCGACGTCAGCAATAACATCAACTCCAAAGCCTCCCCGATGACACCAGTTCAAATCCCAGTGATAACATCCGCCTCTAGTAAAGACCAAACGTAATTTAAATCATGTGACCTGGCACATGAACACACAATCTGAATCTGATAATGTGTCTACAGCCGCTCCCTTCACTTTTAAGTAGTGTATTCTGCATGGTGCGTCACTTGAGGCTCTTCTTCCACGTAAAGCTATCGGTAGGGTGGTTCAGCTTACATGCCAATAGTGGCAACAACGTCACGCAGTTTAATAACTTGACACACTAAAAAGTATAGTATTACTAACATTTACCTCCTTGTCTAACTCGGGACTGCGATTAATTGAGGGTTTCGTGCGTGCGTGCGTGCGTGCGTGCGTGCGTGCGTGCGTATGTGTGTAGTTAGTCGGTCTTAATTCCTTATAATTTAAAAAATAATTCGGCGTGTGTTTAATACTGCATCGAAACGGGATCTTCGATATTTGCAAAAGAAATCCTCCAGAAAAACACAAACCGTTGATACCACACAGGTTGAAGTATAGACTGACTGACTGAGTTTGGTTTTACGCCGCTTTTAGCAATATTCAAGCAACATCACGGCGTGGGACACCAGAAATGGGCTTCACACGTTGTACCCATGTGGGGATTCGAACCCGGGTCTTCGGCGTGACGAGCGAACGCTTTAACCACTAGACTACCCCACCGCCCCGTTGAAGCATAGAAGCAACATGATTTATAAGATATTAATGTGCTATCCAATCATATACTGTTAAATATGAAAGAGGTCCTGGGAATTAAATGTTAATATCGACGTGTTTGAGCAGGGGAAGGTGTTTACCTGAAACATCGTCTGCAGGAACGTTCGGGGCGGCGGTGTAGCCAAGTGGCCATGGTTAAAGCGTTCACACGTCACGCTGAAACACCGGGTTCGATTCCGTAAATGGGTACAATGCGTGTCCCCCGCAGTGATGCTGCTGTAATTCTTGGTATTAACACTGTGGAAAATTTTGTGTAAACCAATGTGTCTGTCACTGTTACTGATTCTGCCTACCACAGTTGGAATTTCATTCATGCATCGATCACAATCTGTGATAAGCAGACTATGGAGCAGGACCCCCCCCCAAAACAACAAAAATGTCAACGATTGACTTCGTTTAGCGCGTCCACGGTCAAGGGAAAGAGACTGCGAATCAAGTCACGGGCCAAGACGTGCTCGACGGTCACGTGGTGTGCCACCCCAGACAGATATAACTGGTGTGTGTACACAGCGTCGAAATTGGGGTAGTGGTCACGTGATTTCAGAAGAGTACCTATTCTTGGTCGTGTCTGGCGACGTCGAAGTGAACTCAAACCAATGTCAATCTGAGACCTCGTGACAGAGCTCGAGGTTGATGATTAACCGACACCCTCTCCATACTCACTAGAAGGGTCACTAGAGATCACTATTGGGACAATATATAGTCCATCAACCTTACTTTTGTCCCCAAGCTCTTACCGAGGTCATTCGCCTGTTTGAATGTGACGAAAATTTACTGTACCCTTTGAGCTAAAAATAAACACCTTAAGAGATCGTCATAAGAAATTAAAACCATCCTTTCATTGAAAGCGTATAATTTTTACGAAATGGATCGCGTTCCCGTCAAAGGCGAGATGGTTGTTCGGTGGGGATGGCGGAGTAAAGACTGAATGTTTCTCAACACTTAAAGAATTGTGTTTACCATGCTTCCCTACAAACGATCAGACCAATCTCGACACTCCCACCCAATTTGGTAACACCGTAGGTGGCGACTGGTTCCAATGTATGTGTCCTGATCGAACGGTAACGCGCTGGAAGATCTATATGTACCCAATCAACGCAGTCATTCAGACTCGATAAATCAATCACTTCTTGAAACGACAAAGGATGATGAACTGATAAACCTTGAAGCCAAGACCAACAGTACACCACACACTGGGATGAACTCTTGTTCTTGAAGACTTGATCTTTGTCCTAATCTGGGACACTTCAGACAGCATTGGTGACTAACGTCAATACAAAAGATTTCTTCAACCGAAAGCAAAGATCGCTAGGTCTTCGATTGCATCGACCCACAACTGTATATAGTCAATAACGGGTAGGTGAATATAACAAGATGAATTCATAGATTCATAAGAGATTGATTGATGGACTTCTGACTGCTAGGCTGCGTTTGTTTTGTTTGTTGTGTAACGCCGCGCTCAGCAGTATTCCAGCTATATGACGGCTATATGATCAACAGCATGAGCATCGATCTACGCAATTGGGATACGATGACATGTGTCAACCAAGTTAGCGGGCCTGACCACCTGATCCCGTTAGTCGCCTCTTACGAAAGCATGGGTTGCTGAAGATCATTTCTAACCCGGATCCTGAAAGGTACATACCGATGTCTTGTCGAGAAATATACAAAATAAGAATGACAAAACCAAATGTATGAGAAATCTCTGCTGAAATGAGAATCTAATATATCATGAGCTACAATCAGACCAATCAAGTTTATTTCTTACTTAATGACCATTGGCCATGTACAGATGCATTATCGTTTTACTGAATTATCATTATCATTTAAAAGAATGAAACACGACAACATGTACATGATCATGTACATAGATGTATGATTGGTTAGCTGCACTCAGCAGTATTGCACCTATGTCGCGGCGGTCTGTAAATATTCGAGTATGGCCTACACAATCCAGTGATCAACAGCATGAGCATCGATCTACGCAATTGGGATACGATGACATGTGTCAACCAAGTCAGCGAGCCTGACCACCCGATCCCGTTAGTCGCCTCTTACGACAAGCGTGGGTTACTGAAGATCAATTCTAACCTGGATCCTCACGGGTACATAGAAGTATGATTATATACATTTCAGTGAGTGAGTGAGTTTAATTTTACGCCGCACTCAGCAATATTCCAGCTATATGGCGGCGGTCTGTAACCAGACAATCCAGTGATCAACAACATGAGCATCGATCTGCGCAATTGGGAACCGATGACATGTGTCAACCAAGTCAGCGAGCCTGACCACCCGATCCCGTTAGTCGCCTCTTACGACAAGCGTGGGTTACTGAAGATCAATTCTAACCTGGATCCTCACGGGTACATAGAAGTATGATTATGATATATACTTCTATATCTTTAAAATACGGTGAGTAGGTATATATGGCTGTTTCTAGACATAAAGTCTGTTTGATTCATTTTGCACAATTTAGCAACAGCTCGTGCAATCTCAGTAAGCACAATATTCTTTATCGCTTCTCTATCGATGTGTCTGTATCAGTCTCTCTGTGATGAGGGGATTTTCTGTTTGTTTCTATACCTGTGTGTGTGCGTATGTGTAATAGTAGTTGCAGGTTATAAATAAAGTATCCAACAGTTCACATTTTACTTTTTATTCACAAGTGGATAAGTGAATAGGTCAGCGAATTTTGGTCCACATCTATCTCGGCATGTCAGCTCTATGTAGTAGAAGATCCAAAATGATGCAGTGATGGCTACACACGGCTACTGTTCCTGACAAGCCAAGAATCACAGTCAAAACAATTCTGCATTTTCGGTCATCGGATCCTGGTATGACTAAGGGCAGTAAGAGAACTAACTGTGAGGATAAAGACACCTGGCCCAATCCCGCATGGGAGCTCCATGAGAAGATAGCAACTTCCGTGTGTGCTGTTATTTTGAAGCCTTATTTCACCCAAACCTCGCCAGATATAATGGTTCCTGTAGGATTTGCTTCATATAAACTACAGGTGCCCGACAGGTATGTGAAAAGGACGCACTCAGACATCATTTCACAAAGAGCCGAGCAACTTGGTCTACTAGACAGTTGTCGTGAGTAGACATGCGAGAATGTGTTTACACTGTTCATCCTCTGGCGGAAACCGGAACTGACGTTCCGACAGGAAACTAGGAAATCAATCTTTGCTTGCTGAAATGCCGACAGGCTGGAGTTGGTTGGTGTAGCTGTTGTTGTTACTGTGGTTGAGGATGAGGATAGGGATGATGGAGAATACATGGGCTCACTTGTAGACGTTGAAGTCCAGGTTGTGGTCGGTTCAGCTGATGTTGAAGCTGAAGTTGATGTAGACGTTGAAGCGGTCGGCTCAGCTGATGTTGAAGCTGAAGCTGACGTTGACGTGGACGTTGAAGCTATCGGTTCACTTGATGTTGACGCTGAAGTTGATGTAGACGTGGAAGTGGTCGGTTCACCTGATGTTGAGGAAGAAGTTGATGCAGACGTTGAACTGGTCGGTTCAGCTGATGTTGACGCTGAAGTTGATGTAGACGTTGAAGTTGTCGGTTCACCTGATGTTGATGGTGAAGTTGGTGTAGACGTTGAAGTGGTCGGTTCACTTGATGTTGACGCTGAAGTTGATGTAGACGTTGAAGTTGTCGGTTCACTTGATGTTGACGCTGAAGTTGATGTAGACGTTGAAGTTGTCGGTTCACCTGATGTTGATGGTGAAGTTGGTGTAGACGTTGAAGTGGTCGGTTCACTTGATGTTGACGCTGAAGTTGATGTAGACGTTGAAGTTGTCGGCTCAGCTGATGTTGATGGTGAAGTTGATGTCGTTGAAGTTGTCGGTTCATTTGATGCTGACGCTGAAGTCGGCACGCTTGTAGTTGTAGCCGACACAGTAGCTGAAATAATTATATGATATACATGCTCAGATCATCACCACCACCATCATCATGAACATCCTCCCCCTCATCATCAACAACAATAACATTAGTCGAGAAGTGCTACGACACTACGACTGAGACCTATCTCTACGACCGCCTCCGTGGTGTAGTGGTAAGAGCGTCTGCCCGGAGTGCGGAAGGTCGCGGGTTCGATCCCCGACCGCGTCATACCAAAAGACGTTAAAATATGGTACTTGTTGGTCCCTTCCTGGCGCTCGGCATTAATGGGTACAACAAGGACTGGTCGGCTCGGAGTCAGTATAATGTGTCTGAGTGGGGTATTCATGCTTCACTGCGGCATGGTATCTCAGTGAGCTAGCACTATAAAACCAGCTTCAGTCTGGGCTAGTACAAGCAGCCACACATACACATACACACGCATGCACGTCGTCATATGAGCGAAATATTCTCAAGCACGACGTTAAACCCAATTCCACCACCACCACCACCACCACCTATCTCTACTGTCATCCCGGAAGACAGTATTCTGACCAGCTGCTAAACACGTATAAGGCACTGAAAAAGGTTAATCGAGAATTGTAGTTAAGATCAAAAGGATGAAATAAACGTAAGCCTATGCAAAGTCTTGACCACATTCCGTTCATCCCGGGATATTCAGAATATTCATATCCATTGACAACATAATGTAGAGCCGAGGCAGGTTTCCATGTAAGAGGCGACTAACGAGGTTGGGTGGTCAGGCTCACTGACTTGGTTGAAACTTGTCATCGTATCCTAATTGCGTAGATCGATGCTTATGTTGTTGATCACTGGATTGTCTGGTCCAGACGCGATCATTTACAGACAGCCACCAAATAGCTGGAATATTGCTGCGTGCATCATTAACCCAACCAACCAATCAACCAACCAACCAATCAATCAACCAACCAACCAATCAACCAACCAACGTGGACTGGTGCTCAACCTGTTAGACCGCCTGTATGTAGCTTGAATATTCTTGAGTGCGGTGATAAATATAAAAAAAGAAATATGATAATGTTCTACTTACTTTGGCCCGAGCCGCTACTCTCTGTGTCACCGGAACCTACAGAGGAAATATATATTATCACAACACTCCTCTATAAGAAAGTAGCTGCTATTTGTCTGGATGTAATAATCAGTGAAATTATTTATATGCTGTCATATTGGAAGAATCGTATGTCATAATTCTCTGCCAACTCAATAGACGTGCAGAGAACAACCAACAAACATGTTTGTTATGTAGTTGGAGTGCTCTTTAGTGCTGAGATAAACGAAGAAAGAAAGAAAAATATAAGCGTAATGTTTTCCGTTACTTCGACCCGAGTCGCTACTCTCTACGGGTGTAGTTGTCTCACCATAACCACTTGCTGAAGACCCGTGAAGGCCCGGGTTAGAATGAGCCTTCAGTAACCAATGCTTGTCGTAAGAGGCGACTAACGGGATCGGGTGGTCAGGCTCAATGACTTGGTTGACACATGTCATCGTATCGTAATTGCGTAGATCGATGCTCATGTTGTTGATCACTGGATTGTCTGGTCCAGACGCGATCATTTACAGACAGCCACCAAATAGCTGGTATATTGCTGCGTGCAGCGTTAACCCAACCAACCAATCAACCAACCAACCAACCAACGTGGACTGGTGCTCAACTTGTTAAACCGCCTGTATGTAGCTGGAATATTCTTGAGTGCGGTGATAAATAAAAAAGAAAGAAATATAATAATGTTTCTACTTACTTTGACCCGAACCGCTACTCCCTGTGTCACCGGAACCTACAGAGGAAATATATATATTATCACAACACTCCTCTATAAGAAAGTAGCTGCTATTTGTCTGGATGTAATAATCAGTGAAATTATTTATATGCTGTCATATTGGAAGAATCGTATGTCTTAATTCACTGCCAACTCAAAAGACGTGCAGAGGATAACCAACAAACATGTTTGTTATGTAGTTGGAGTGCTCTTTAGTGCTGAGATAAACGAAGAAAGAACGAAAAATATAAGCGTAATGTTTTCCGTTACTTCGACCCGTATTCGCTACTCTCTACGGGTGTAGTTGTCTCACCAGAACCACTGGCTGAAGACCCGTGAAGGCCCGGGTTCAGTAACCCGTGCTTGTTGTAAGAGGCGACTAACGGGATCGGGTGGTCAGGCTCACTGACTTGGTTGACACATGTCATCGGTTCCCAATTGCGCAGATCGATGCTCATGTTGTTGATCACTGGATTGTCTGGTTACAGACCGCCGCCATATAGCTGGAATATTGCTGAGTGCGGCGTAAAACTAAACTCACTCACTCGCTGAAATGTATACAATCACAACACGCGTTCATTAGTAAGTAGTTTACGTGCTTCGAGGAATTACGAGTTATTTATCCCGATGTAATAATTTAATTGTTAGTGACATTATTTATATGCTAATATATTTCAAGAATCTTAAACTAAATTCTGTGTGAACTCAAAAGACATGTAGAGAGTAACAACAAAAATGTTTGTGGTTTTAATGCCATTATCACGTGTGACCCTGTTTGGGATGCATGTCTGATGTCAAACGAGAGGCAGCGGTAGTGTTTAGGAGATACCAGATGACTAAAGACATGCTGTATCTTAGCTCATTGATTTGTTTGATGCATGTCATCGTATACAAATATACGTGGATCGATGCTCAATATGTCAATCACCGAATTGCCTGGTCGAGGCCCGATTACTGTCAGACCAGCGTTATGCGGAGAGTTCTTTACTGCAGAGATAAATGTAAAAAAACAAACAAATAATAATATTTCCACTTACTTTGACCAGAGCCGCTACCCTCTACGGGTGCAGTCGCGGTATCAGTATCAGCGGCTGAAATACATAATAACAACACTTATGCATCAAAATATACCTACGATGCTTCGCGTAATTACCACTTGTTTGTAATAAGATGTGAAATTACTCATATGCTATTACATTTGAAGAATCGTATGTTTAAAGTCTGCGTTAACTAAAAAAGGCGCAGAGAATAACAAACATTTGGGTTCAATAGATCAATGTCATTATCACGTATTTCGCTATTCGTGTTTGCAAAATAGCTATAGGGCACATGACGATAGTTTTCAGCAAGCCGTGAAGATCACATAAAGACTCGGTCTTCAGGGACCATGTTTGCCGTTAGTGTCAGCTAATGCCGTAAATTTTCTTGGCTGGCTGATTGGGTTTATGCATGCCATCGTATAGCAATATGCGTGTATCGATATGACTGGATTGCCTGATTCAGACCCGATTACATAGACAACCATTATGTATACTATAAGGGTAATGCTATTTTTGAGGGCATTATCATTTGCTGAAGCCCGAGGTGTTCCATTAACTGCCCGACGAAGGAGGGCAGTTGAAAAGACCGAGGGCTTCTGCAAATGATAATGCCCTCAAAAATAGCATTACCGCTCATAATTGCTAAAATACATGGAATTTGTGTTGAAAAGAAAAGGAAACAATGAAGGAATTTGACTGTAAGTTTACCAAAATCAACTTCTGACGGGCCTGACTGCCCGAATGCAATTACGTCATCGAACAATTCAAGTGACGTCACAACAGAAAGTGACGATATTCGACCTTGGCCTTTGACAAGACCATAGCCTGCAACATGTCAAGCTATGACAGTGTTCGGTTTTGGTCCATCAACAGTCTTAATAGTGCAATTGTTAAGGTTAGCACCAGCAAGAAAGCCAATATTACCGCTATTTGAAGCGGGAATTCGGGTTGCTTTGACTTGTTTGACCCAGAATATCTGCCAGTCGAAAGCAAATTAATGTCGAACTATGACGTCACTTGACAACAGAACTGATAGTGGCCCGTCGTTAAGGTTGAGCGGTCCAATATCATTTGCAGCGGACCGCAAATTTCTGATAATGGGAGGGCCGTTTCATGATAATTCCATGTATTTTAGCTATAATACTGGAATAAAGTAACTGTGCATTATTTGATGCTATTCCATTTTTAATGCAAAAATGATTTGTGGTGTTTTTCTTAATCACTGTTTAACTGTTGACAGGATAATATCGAAATCTATATGATTAGACACTAGGCATCGTGGCACGCCCTTGAACAGATGTGGTGTCAAAATTCAGTTCACAAATTCAGTATCGTGTGTGTCCACCATTGGTGTTGATGCAGGTTTGATAACGACGACGCATAGACGCCACTAAGCGATTGAAGAAAGCTTGGGAATATTGCTCCATGTCTGAACCAACGCTTGTCCCAATTCAGCTAACGTCAATGATTGATTCTTGGCTTGACGTAAACGGCGCTCCATTTCACCCCAAACGTGCTCGATAGGAGACAGGTCCAGAGAAAGAGCTGGCCAGGGGAGTACCGGAATGTTCTGCTGTCTCAGGCAATCTGTCACAACACGAGCAACATGTTGACGGGCATTATCTTGCTGAAGCGTGAAGTTACATCTTTGTCCTTGGATGGACGGCTGCACACGAGACCCAATGATCTTATCTCTGTATCGCAGTCAGATTGTCATTTACAATGACAAGTTGTGTCCCGCCATGAGATGTGATGACACCACATACCATTACGTTGTCGCCACCAAACTGTCGACGATGAACAACGCACACGTCAGCATACCGTTCACCTCGCCGTCTGTACCACCCTTACCCTGCCACCTGAGCTGTCCAGATGAAATCTCGTCTCGTCAGTGAACAAACCACCATCCCAGTCTTGTCCCTTGTACCATAGATGTCTTCACTAGGCAAGACGTGGATGTCGGTGACGTTGGAGCAAAATTGGGCCAACAGGGTCAGATGTTGTGCTCCCTCAGTCGGTTCTGTACAGTCCTGGGCCTAGATTTTCGAAGCTCTCTTAGCGCTAAGATAGTCGTAAGTTAATGTTAATGTATGGCACTTGCGACTATCTTAGCGCTAAGAGAGCTTCGAAAATCTAGGCCCTGGAACTGATTGGAGCTAAGCCAGGAATGGTCCCAGCACTCAAACTGGTAGTCTGGAATCGATTCCTTAGATGTGTCTTTCTGACGTAACGTCACGCGTGGGCGGCCGGTCCCATGCAAATCTCTCTCGTGTTCCCGTTATGTTGAAAACGTCTCCATAGAGATGAGATCGTGTTTCGATGGACACCAAAAAGTCTGGCCCCTTCATTATGGGCCATTCCAGTCTCCAGTATACCCACGACACGGAAACGCTGATTTTCTGTAAGCCATGACTTGACGTACGCGCAGTTTAGGTTGAACTTAACGTGTTTTCCACAACAGTCAGAGGCTAGAGAATAATCAGCCGTTCTTCAAATTTGAAAATCAGGTGTGTGAACTTCGGGTGTCAAAGTCACGATATGGCTGAAATATTGCCGATGTGACGTTAAATGATAACTCACTCACTCACTCGGGTGTTCATTGTGCACAAAAGTATTCCTGAGTGCGGAGGAGTGCAATCAATCAATCAATCAACATAGTGTTTCCACTTACTTTGACCCGAGCCGCTACTTTCTACGGGGGCAGCTACCGAACCGGAACCTTCAGCTGAAATATATGTAGTCACAACTCTCATTCATAACAAAGTACCATACGTGCTTCGGGGAAATGCCACCTATATACCCGGGTGCAATAACATATGTTATTATGATTGTAGTCCAATGATTGGTAATGAAAAGAAACAAAAACTAATCGAGCAAAACAGTGAAGATTAATTCAGCTGACCATGAAAGAAAGATGGAGTCAAATTGGAAAGTCAGTAACGTGTATGACCACCGTTAGCAGCATCACAAGTTGTGCAACGTCTCCTCATTGAACTGATAAATCTCTGAATAATGTTTTGAGGCAATGCATTCCACTCTTGTTGCAAGGCATTCTCAAGTTCCCCAAGATTGTTGATCTGTGGGCGACGTGAGAGGCGTTGGCCGATGTATTTGATGCTCGTGGTAGTCACACTAGATACTGAAGTCAAGAGTCTGAATGGTCTGCAAACGTTTACGTAATGTCTTGACATTGTGCTGAGTTATTTATTGATGTGTCAAGATATTGTACACAAAAATGTTTTTGCTCCGCTTATTATGTCAATTTCTGTAATGATTTGATTACAGTGCCTATCTAATTTTGAATTCGTACTGATATCTTTTATGCTGCTGAGTATATTTCAAGAATCTTAAAGTAAATTCTGTGTGAACTCAAAAGACATGTAGACAGTAACAACAAAAATGTTTGTGGTTTTAATGCCATTATCACGTGTGACCCTGTTTGGGGCTGATACAAGCGAGGCAGCGGTAGTGTTTAGGAGATACCAGATGACTAAAGACATGCTGGTCATTTATCTTGGCTCACTGATTTGTTTGATGCATGTCCTTAGATCTGTCTTTCTGACGTAACGTCACGCGTGGGCGCCCGGTCCCATGCAAATCTCTCGTGTTCCCGTTATGTTGAAAACGTCTCCATAGAGATGAGATCGTGTTTCGATGGACACCAAAAAGTCTGGCCACTTCATTAGGGGCCCATTCCAGTCTCCAGTATACGGAGACGCTGATTTTCTGTAAGCCGTGACTTGACGTGCGCGCAGTTTAGATTGAAATTAACGTGTTTTCCACAACAGTCAGAGGCTAGAGAATAATCAGCCGTTCTTCAATTTTCAATATCAGGTGTGTGAACTTCGGGTGTCAAAAAGCATGCAAAAATGAGTAAGTTCATTGTGCACAAAATGCACTTGCCATACTGATACATCAAATTTCATGCAAAGTGCTTTGCTACATGGCATTGTTTAATTAGGGTTATTGTAACTTTTCAAATGACTTTTATTTATGCAACTTTATGTTATGCACTTTTTTCCGTTAGTATGGTTGAAGTATTCCTGAGAGCGGAGGAGTGCAATCAATCAATCAACCTATCAATCAATCAATCAATCAACATAGTGTTTCCACTTACTTTGACCCGAGCCGCTACTTTCTACGGGGGCAGCTACCGAACCGGAAACTTCAGCTGAAATATATGTAGTCACAACTCTCATTCATAACAAAGTACCATACGTGCTTCGGGGAAATGCCACCTATATACCCGGGTTCAATAACATATGTTATTATATACTGAACATCACTGAACACGCACCACCTGTATTAGTTTGGATTTCCAAGAGCATAAATGAGCAATCGGTGTAAATTTTACATACCTTTGTAGTCCAATGATTGGTAAAGAAAGGAAACAAGAACTAATCCAGCAAAACAGTGCAGTTTTAATTCAGCTGACCATGAAAGAAAGATGGAGTCAAATTGGAAAGTCAGTAACGTGTATGACCACCGTTAGCAGCAACACAAGCTGTGCAACGTCTCCTCATTGAACTGATAAGTCTCTGAATAATGTTTTGAGGCAATGCATTCCACTCTTGTTGCAAGGCATTCTCAAGTTCCCCAAGACTGTTGAAATGTGGTCGACGTGAGAGGCGTTGGCCGATGTAATCCCACAAGTGTTCAATGGGAGACAAATCGGGTGACAATGCAGGCCATGGCAGTAGAGGAATGTTGTTGTTTGCCAGAAACTGTGTTGCAACACGTGCAGTGTGCGCACGAGCATTGTCCTGCTTGAATGTGTGCAGATCTTGATGTTGGTTAAAGAAGGGAACGACGTTGTCCTGAAGAATGGTGTCACGGTAGTAAAGGGCATTCACTCTGTCACGACAAACTACCAAAGCGGTTTTAGGATGATAACTGATTGCTCCCCACACCATAATGCTTGCTCCACCCCACCGATCTGTTTGCACAACACAGTCCTGATGGTAACGTTCTCCCCGTCGACGCCCGTCAGCATTTCGCAAGTGAAAACGTGACTCGTCGGAGAACACAACACCATGCCAACGTCGTAACAACCACAAACGATGCTGTCAACATTATGCAGTGGCCAGCCCTTAGTCCTGATTTAAACCCAATTGAACATCTTTGGGATGAAATTCAGTCACAACGATACTGAAGTCAAGAGTCTAATTGTTTAATTAGGGTTATTGTAACTTTTCAAATAACTTTTATTCATGCAACTTTATGTTATGCACTTTTTTCCGTTAGTATAGTTGGAGTATTCTTGCAATTGAGTGCGGAAATCAATCAATCAATCAATCAATCAATCAATCAATCAATCAATCAATCAATCAACATAGTGTTTCCACTTACTTTGACCCGAGCCGCTACTTTCTACGGGGGCAGCTACCGAACCGGAAACTTCAGCTGAAATATATGTAGTCACAACTCTCATTCATAACAAAGTACCATACGTGCTTCGGGGAAATGCCACCTATATACCCGGGTTCAATAACATATGTTATTATATACTGAACATCATTGAAAACGCACCACCTGTATTAGTTTGGATTTCCAAGAGCATAAATGAGCAATCGGTGTAAATTTTACATACCTTTGTAGTCCAGTGATTGGTAAAGAAAGGAAACAAGAACTAATCCAGCAAAACAGTGCAGTTTTAATTCAGCTGACCATGAAAGAAAGATGGAGTCAAATTGGAAAGTCAGTAACCTGTATGACCACCGTTAGCAGCAACACAAGCTGTGCAACGTCTCCTCATTGAACTGATAAGTCTCTGAATAATGTTTTGAGGCAATGCATTCCACTCTTGTTGCAAGGCATTCTCAAGTTCCCCAAGACTGTTGAAATGTGTGTTGGAGTATTCTTGCAATTGAGTGCGGAGATCAATCAATCAATCAATCAATCAATCAATCAATAAATAAATCAATCAATCAATCAACATAGTGTTTCCACTTACTTTGACCCGAGCCGCTACTTTCTACGGGGGCAGCTACCGAACCGGAACCTTCAGCTGAAATATATGTAGTCACAACTCTCATTCATAACAAAGTACCATACGTGCTTCGGGGAAATGCCACCTATATACCCGGGTGCAATAACATATGTTATTATATTTTAAGAATCTTATGTCTAAATTGTGTGACAACTCAAAAGGCGTGCAGAGAATAACCAACAAGCATGTTTGTTCTTTTATAAATCCATGTCATTATCACGTCTGGCCCATAGGCCCTCGTGTCTTTGCGAAGATTAAAGATTAAAAAAAATTAATTGAGATGACCCCCAACTCGAAATGCCTCACAGTACAATACATCATGACAAGGTCATAATGTATTGTACTGTGAAGCATTTCGAGTCGGGGGTCATCTCAAAAATTCTTTTTAAAATCTTTAATCCTCGCAAAGACACGAGGGCCTGTGGTGGGCCCTCTGTTGGGATGATACAGGCGAGGCAGCGGTAGTGTTTAGATGTTGACTAATGATATTCGGGGGCTCAAGGCCCGATTACCTTCTGACTGTCGTTATGCAGTTGGTATATTCTTGTATGTGGGGATAAATAAAACAAACAAACAAACAATAAGCGTATTAATGTTTCCGATTACTTTGACCCGAAAGGCTATTCTCTCCAGGGTCACTTATCGATCCGGAACTTTCAGCTGAAATGTATATAGTCACAACTCTCAGTCATAACAAAGTAGCTTACGTGCTTCGAGGAAAAACCAGCAGGCATGTCTGTGGTTCCATAGATCAATGTCATTATCACGTGTGGCCCTCTTTAGGGGACGTACAGGTGAGGTGATTGTAAGATACCAGATGACTAAAGACATCCTGGGGGATCGACGTTGTTCCAAATGTCAAATTAACATTGACCCAACTCAGTATGTGTTACGACTTGTTCTGGTCCTGTCGTAAGGGTCGGTCCATCTGATTCCAGATAATTGACTTGTGCTATGAAAACCGTTATGCTACTAATTTAAGAAGTGCCTCCAACGTCCCACATGAAAAGAGTCTAAGTGATTTAGATATTTCCATTTGTTGCTATCATCTTGAAGTTCATTTTATGTTTAAATGTCCTATTTCTTATGATGTGAGAGAGACATATTGCCATACATACAGTTTAAGATAAAAGACCCGCTTATGTACACACTCAATTCTGAAGATTCATCGGCCTCAGTAAGTGTTTAAAATATGCCAAAGAGGCTTTATCTATACGTTCCTCACTATTATGATAGTATACCCTTCATCTGTACAGCTTTTGAACCACCACCACCACGGTGTATGTATTTATTGTTTGTTATGTAATGTATACGGACTTGTGGCCTCTATACTGAATAAGCTTCTTCTTCAATGGCCTGTTCATCGCTGCTCACATCTATATGTGATTTTCAGATTTTACTTGGAAATTCGGGACTCAGACACATTGTTTTACTCGAACGTTTCACATGTTAAATGAGAGTCATGCTAAATTAAAGGACACCACACCACACCACACCACACCACACCACACCACACCACATCGAAGTTAAACCACACCACATGTAAAAGAATTTGTCCACTTACCTGGGCCGCCCAGGCTGTTTGTAGCTGCAAATTTCCCAAAACGTATTATAAAACCAATTATTCATAGTATACTTACATACAGTCTTTTCATAAATACATTTTGCCATCGAATGGTTTGACAAAACGGTTTTATGATATTAATGTCTGTGTCAGTTAGAATCAATGTCTAACAATACAAACATATGTGGCAACCTCAAATTTTAACGTTTCCAGTTTGGTCAAACTGGGTTCTTTCTTAAACCACGTGGTTTTAACATAACTGGATTGTCTGGTTTAGGCTTAACTGTTTGAAGGCCGCTGTCGTAAGTGACCGTTCATAATTTATGGCTGGGGGTTGTGGTGATGATTTTATATGGGGAAACATGTACAATGGGAATGACAAACACACACACACACACACACACACCCAATAAATTATGCACCCCCATGTCATCTACAAAATCCACCACCCCCGTGATTTTTAAGCATAATATGTTAATATTTTTATGTACAAAATTGCTGACACCCCCCACCCAACCCTCACCCCGTACATGTGTACAAAATTGATGACCCGCCCTATCTCCCCAGAACAAAATGGGTGACATACACACGCACTCACATACGCACGCACGCACACTCGCACACGCACACCTATTAAACTCATCATCACCCCACCCCACCCACCCCACCACCCCCAAGCCATAAATTATGAACGCTCCCTATGGCAGGAATATCCCTGGGTGCAGAGCTAAGCAGTAAAGACTTACACTTTTGGTAATTGCGTGTATAGTTACAGGATGTGCCTACTCTCTTCCCGAAACCGTGCGTCATCACTTATCTTCACTGATCCATTAATATGATCCTAATTACTGGTTTTATTATATTTATGTTCCATGGAATCTGTTCCGAGGTTGTCCTTTGGCGCTGATGTTTTATATACAGCTCAAAACAACATACAGAACATCCTCAATTGGGGTACAATATTCTTATTCGAAATATCATCGTAAGGATGCGAAAGTCACATTAACTTAGTGCGCCTAGTGGCTGCAAGAGATGTATACTCCCCAGGGAGTTGAGATTAAAAATACGATGTGCTGTTGAGATTGACATCCAATGATCGGGGCGGTGGGGTAGCCTAATGGTTAAAGCGTTGGCTCGTCACGCCGAAGACCCGGGTTCGAATCCCCACATGGGTACAATGTGTGAAGCCCATTTCTGGTGTCCCCCGCCGTGATGTTGCTGGAATATTGCTAAAAGCGGCGTACTCAGTCAGTCAGTCCAATGATCGAGGGAAAATATACCAGCGCCTTGAGCATGTACTAGTTGCGTGGATATGTGCGCTATATTAATATCCTGTAATTATAATTATAATATCATCATATCGTACGCAAACAAGGTAGCAACTAAACTAATTAGTTTGCCTGGTGTTTGACATTCAAATGAAGGTGTACACGTACCTCGAGCCTGTTTCCACAACAAAGCCATCGTCATCATCATAACCATCATCATCAAAAAGCGAACCATTGCCTCGGATTCTGTGATGTCCTTTACTTGAATTTCATAGACTGCTTCAAAGTTCTATCCTTAAATCCGACGAACGTTTTTCCTACGAAAAACAATCGAAGTCGAATCCAATGGCACCCACAATACCACGTTGTTCTTGTGTAATTCACATACACCATTAAACATTAATCAGGCACCTTTAGTACGTTTTGTTGGACATGGGTGTTAACGTGCTTTCCTTGCAGTCACCAAACTAAAATTTGATGCTAGCAGTGCCACCGCCTCCAATGGTATTTCTATACACGCAGTTCCATTCATAATCGATGATAAATCTCATCATTATTTACCTGTCATCGATTGAGTATGTGTCTTCAATAAACTCAAACATGGCTTTGTCACTGTGGCGTACTGCATATGGATTTATACGGTCATGTATCGTTCGATAAACTTTTAAAAGATTTATTTTCTATGAAGCGTACAAATCGACAGTTCAGCATGATTGCTACTGTCACCGCGTGAGACAGTGTTTCCACATGTTGGAACATCCCTGAGCAATGATAACGCAGCGCCTTTTTTCATACCTGAACGTTTTACTTTTATCAGTTGTAAACTGTCTGTCGTAATGATCTCTGATTGTGTTTTTAGGATCAATGCAAGCGTGTCCAATGCAGTTATCGGTTAAATATGTTACACATGTTACACATGTGCAACATCCACTTACAGGATCTACTTATGTCCTCCATACTGAGGCGCCTGTTAAAGCCCACGAGTGAGTGAGTTGGATTTACGCCGCTCTTAGTAATATTCCAGCAATATCACGGCGAATTAAAGCCCGCGACCTTCGCTCTGCTCAAGTGACACTATGACTTAGGACGTACATTGGGTTTACATTACACAACCACTGGTGATCTGCACTTAACTGAGGTGACACCATCACTTAGGACTTACTGTCTTCTGACGTGACACCATCACTCCTGACCTACGCTCGACTGACGTGACACCATCACTCTTGACCTACGCTCGACTGAAGTGACACTATCACTCATGACCGAAGTTCGACTGTCTTGACATCATCACTCATGACCCACACCTGACTGACATGACACCATCACTCATGGCGTACTACACTCGACTGACGTGACACAATCACTTTGGACCTACACACGACTGACGTGATACCATCTTCACTCAACTGACGTGATACAATCACTTAGGACCTACCCTCGACTGACGTCACATCATCACTCATGGCCTACACTCGACTGACTTGACACCATCACTCATGACCTAGACTCGACTGACTTGACACCATCACTCATGACCAAGACTCGACTGACGTAACACAATCACTCATGACCTACCCTCGACTAACGTGACACCATCACTCATGACCTACACTCGACTGACGTGCCACAATCACTCATGACCTACACTCGACTGACGTGACACAATCACTCATGACTTGCACTCGACTGACGTGACACAATCACTCATGACCTACACTCGACTGACGTGACACAATCACTCATGACCTACACTCGACTGACGTGACACAATCACTCATGACCTACACTCGACTGACGTGACACAATCACTCATGACTTGCACTCGACTGACATAACACGATGATAATCCCTGCAAGGAGTGACTTGTCCTTTGACATACTAAATTTGACCAGATAAAAGAGCAAGTAAACTTATTATTACTAAACGTTTATGTACTGTGAGGCAAAAATTATTGTGACATAAATTGTTTTCTATTTCCATCTTTTGAATGTAGTTTTGAATTTGAACCAGAGAAAGAGTGTGTTAAAATCTTCGATAAAAATGTAACCAAGCAGTTGTTGCTCGAATTGCACGAACTTTGCCAGAAGAATGACATATTCTAGAATAATGGCCAGAAGTGTTCACTTTAAAATGCCAGACAACCATACGCTTATACCTGGCCATTGGAGACAGAGAGACAGGCACAACTCAATACTGTCAGCGGCGGCGGTAAAACACCATAGTAGCAGCCTATGGAGTGTTGTACTAAAATCCAACTGACTTTCGGATCAGGCTTCGTCCTGATCCTGTCGTAAGTATCGACCCATCTCATCCCAAAAAATGTTATGTAGCTAAAAACGTATGTAACAAAGGGTGCTGAACGTGTCCACAGATATTGTGTTTCAATGAATATTAAAATGTTCGTTTTACACTTTCCGGGAGTGCAGCATACTGGTGGTTCTTTGACACTGATTTTCATTTAAGTAAGCAGGTGCATTTATATATTTGTGGCCCATGGGTTCAATATGTGAACAGGTGTAATTTGCTATGATTGCTAAAAGCGGCGCAAAACCATACTCACTGGCTACAGTATCGGCTACAGTATCGTTGTGAGCTGTTCAAATAAAAAGTTACTTCTGTATTATGCTTCAAACAACACAATAATTTTCAAAACGTAGAGGTGCATGGTCATGCACGTGCAAATGATGAATCACGACCTTATGGTGGAGGGAGTCCCTTGATGAATATGTGTTGAACAATACACTTTTAACATGGGAATACAATCATAGTGTGCATGTATGTGTGTGCGCGTGCGTGCGCATACTTGCGCTGTGTCGTTGCGGGAACTGACTGTAGGCCATTGGGGTGAGGTGAAATTGGGTTTAACGTCGTACTTGAGAATATTTCGCTCATATGACGAAGTGCATGCGTGTGTATGTGTATGTGCGGCTGCTTGTACTAGCCCAGACTTAAGCTGGTTTATAGTGCTAGCCCACTGAGATACCATGCCGCAGTGAAGCATGAATACCCCACTCAGACACATTATACTGACTCCGAGCCGATCAGTCCTTGTTGTACCCATTAATGCCGAGCGCCAGGCAGGGACCAACAAGTACCATATTTTAACGTCTTTTGGTATGACGCGGTCGGGGATCGAACCCGCGACCTTCCGCTCTCCGGGCGGACGCTCTAACCACTACACCACGGAGGCGGTCATAAGCCATTGGAAGATACCAGGACACTGATATCGTTCCTCCAGTGGGGCGGCTGGGTAGCCTAGTTGTTAAAGCGTTCGCCTGTCACGCTGAAGACCCAGGTTCGATACCCAACATGGGTACAATGTGTGATGTTCATGTCTGGCGTCCCCGCCGTGATATTGCTGGAATATTGCTAAAAGCGGCGTGAAACCATACTCACTCACTCGTTCCTCCAGACATAGCAAAATGAAACTAAACTTATATCACAAAGCATGATTTCTTTATTCTCTTGCAGATATATTTCAGTTTTGAGGTGTGTCGCACGTACTACTGATTACTAAGAACTAGACAACAAGGTTCTGGAAAATAAGGCACAAACAGCAGCAATTGCACTGAGGCAGAAGATGCATATTGTTTGTAACGAATAATCAAAAATATTATGCTATGTGACACTCACATAAATAAACCCCGCATTCCGAGACAAATGCAATGGTACTGTTCCTATGACAACAGATGGAGCGTATATACAACGATATATAAAGTATATAATTGTATTGAGGGAATATATACTAGCAACAAAAAGAAACTGTGCATATTGGAAATCACAGTGTATATTGGAACTACGTGTGTGTACACAAATACACATGTAAACAGTAAATAGTCAACTTTATTGAACACATGCAGGTACTAGGGCGATTCGGTATGGTCACGTGCAACACGGTTGTGCGCACATCATGGCATGACTCATGACTGCAGAAGGTCATGTAGCTATTGGGATGATACGTTGGGGCATGTCTCAACGTCAGGTGGTCGCGCATGCCCATTGTCATTGTTGATCGTGACGTTGCAATAATGAAGCTGCCAATAGGTCACGTGCAGGTCGTCCACGTGTTGTTGTTGCTTAGGTCCATTTGACAGGTGTGGTCTACAAAGATCAGATTATCGGACCAGTGACCATTACGTTTCTCACCCGTCATAGGCCAGGATTGACATTCCAAGAGGATAATGTCCGCCCTCATACGGATGAACGGTCGTGATTTGGCAGCAGAGTTGCAGAGGATATGGCATGCCATTCCACAGCCCTACCATTCCCATGCGTCGACGATGCCCTGCTGTTCTTGCTGCTCATGGTTGGCATACCGTTATTGAGTTGGCGAGATTGTTGCCCCCTGTGACGTCAATGTCATGAATATTAAACATGCTTGCTCTACCATCTTCTTATGATCTCAATATCCACCTATTAAATTTTCATGTAAACTTTTCATCGTAGTTATACTTTCAAATTTAGAAGAAATTTCATTTATGCACAGTTTCTTTTTCTGGCTAGTATATATGGTACTGGCTAAAATATTATGGTATTGCAAGACATATTTTATGGCATATTTAACAAACAGATGTTTACTAAAGACATGTCAGCAGTAACGTATAGGTAAAAACAAACAAATCATTTGGAAATTGTTTCAGATAAATGTAACGGTATTTACATAACAACTGAAGACTTACATATACCACTACCAACACAGTGTACAACAATTTGCAACATCGCCAGCATCGAAGAATTATGTATGGCACTGATTCAATGGCACTACAAGACATATTGGGTGGTGTAATGCACATACCAGGAATAACAAGTACAAATCAACATATAAATGTAAGCAATTCCTATTGAATAATTGATAAAATATATTGTGGAAAAGCCTTTAACAAATACATATTATACAGTTTTCGATGGAGAAATGTTCTCCGAAATGGCTTGGTTATTACTATACATCGATCATTATTAACAGTTCATTCTTGTAAGACAATAATAACATGGTAGCGGACACATGGGTGATTTATCACATAGTTATTACCAGTATCAGTATTCGCGATCACTTGTGTCATTCCGAAGGTTGTGGAGAGATGCGAGTCTTGTGAATGTCACGGCACTTTGGTCAAGGCCTGTAGAATAACAAGGCCACATTATTGAGGTTCCAGTTAACCTAGGCAGTGTAATTTCGGCAGTCAAGCATACGGATTGTCGAATATTCTAAGGCGCCGTCATTCGCCCTGAACATGATCCTCGGTAGGCTAGCACCAAACCAGTGGCCATGGGAATCACCAAGATGGTCCTTTGTGTAGAACTTGGAATTGGTCTTCAGCAGCACAGCAACCAAACAGGCGACTAACGGGATTTGGTGGTCAGGCTCTCTGAGATGGCTGATTGATGTCTTCGTATCCCATTTACGTAGATGCTCATGATTTCAATCACTGGATTGTCTGGCTCGATTCGACTATATACCGACTACCGTCTATTGGCCTATTGCTGATTGGGCGGTTACAAATTATCGGTAGGCCCACAGCTGTACATGATATCATTGGATTCTTATGCGATCCTTTAGTCTTTCCGGTATAGGTAGAGAGGGTAACGTGGACGGCAGTGATGGACCCAACACCTTCCGTATCACCACACAACTCAACTGCGCCAGCGTCAGTGGGTTAGTTGCATAAAATAATAACTGCCTCCTGAGGGCTTCCTTCTCAACAAATCCGTTATAGTGTCTATCGTCCATTATCCAAGCTAAATCGGGCTTGATATCATAACCGCCTGTGATTGTGATATCAATGGCCAGTTCCCTATCCGAGCAGGACATCATGGCCAGGTTATACAATGGAGTCTCCGCCAGAACACAACCCTCTCCGGTCATATAGAAGTTCTTGGACACGAGTAACGAAATTACAGTCATGTTCCTAAGTCTACTGGCTGCAAGGAACTCACAGTTTTTGCTCTTTGTCCAGAGGGAGACAGCACCTGCTTCAAGAAGGGTCATCACGTGTTCGAGAACGCCATCATCTCTGTGTATTGCATTATAAAGAGGAGATACGCCTCTACAAGTTCTGATGTTCACGGAAGCTCCAGCATCTATTAAAGCACGCACGTTGTGAACTGATCCATCCGAGGAAGCTATATGGAGCGCAGTCTCACCGAAACAGTTCTTGGAGTTGGGATCAATTCCTCTCTGCTTCAGATACTTTATCGCAAGGGAATTATCACCACTACTCTTTGCGGCGTAGTGTAAGTGCGTGAACCCATAGTCGTCGTTTGACGTTAAAGGAAGACCAAGCTGACTCAATCTCCTTATCATTTCTACGTGGCCATTTGTTGCAGCACACTTAACAAGACCGTCCCCAAAGAAAAACCCCGAAGCATCAAACCCGTACTCCAGCAGAGCATCCAGAATGGCAACACATCCAGTTTTTGCGGCAGTTTGAAGAGGCCAATGGGCATTTATATCCCAGAATTCTCTGGCGTTTGAACCTAAACCCCGAGTCTCGAACCAATCCCGTACGTTTTCAAAGCCACGGATTTTTATGAATTTGGTCAACTCGTTCCATTCGTTGAGGCTGGGTCGTTTGGGCTTCTTTTCGTTTTTGTGTGACTTACATCTGTTCTCTGTGTTCAGTCCCATGTCATGAGTTCGAAGTGTAAGAAGCTGAAGTTTGTCTGCACATGCTGATGATTTATCTCCAACATCCATTTGTGCTTCAGATTTGGCATCCTCCGGTGTATCCATGGCAACGACACTTACTATGCACCCTCCGATGTTTCCATGGCAACGACAATAACTATTTACCCTCTGATGTATCCATGGCAACGACACTAACTATTCGCCCTCTGATGTATCCATGGCAACGACACCAACTATTCACCCTCTGATGTATCCATGGCAACGACACTTACGATGCACCCTCTGATGTATCTATGACAATGCCACTTACTATTTTACATGCAGCTTAGCATATCATAATCAGACACACGGCTGTACAGGGCTCACTGTTCCAGGACCCTAAACCTCATTGTTTTTCACATCCCCGTAATGGAATGCAGATATATCCACTTCTGAAAATGCATTTCTCTGGCATGTAAATTTATGCCCTTATGTGCACAAGCCGTTTCTTGAGGTTTAGGTTTCAGGAGACCATTAAGAAATCATGTCCAGCTGAATCATACGATGGGTCTGTTTAAAACACATTCTTGACGATCAGGTGAACCAACTGCTTTGAAGGTATCATGTGAGATTTTACTTGAACAGTTTGACGAGAAACACCATAGACAGGCCTGTCTTGTCTTGAAACAACTGGGTAACATTGATCCCGTCACTGCCATGATCATGGCTCATCGTTTGCACTGCATTCCTTTATCAGACCTACGTTGTTTCCCTGTAACTTCATTATAGTCCGGCTGTCGCACGTTCTTGAACCCGTAGCACGCATTGTCATTTATATGTATGCTCCGGCTGTGGGAAAGTGGTGTAACGTACCAATGATCGTGGCGGGGATGTGAATGCCGAACAATTTACATGCTAAACATGTACCTGAAATATAATAAATAACCATAACTTGAGATTAATGTCACGTGATGAGCATAAAGCGTATATAGGGCTTTCGTAGGCTTAATGGTTTCTACAGAAACGAATATGTGTGAGCAATATTATATTCATTCGATATCACCATTAATACGTTAAACAATTACCAACTGATAATGAAACACTCCTATATGTATATCATTGAATGATATCGTTTATCATATTAATCCGGGGCGGTGGGGTAGCCTAATGGTTAAAGCGTTGGCTCGTCACGCCGAAGACCCGGGTTCGAATCCCCACATGGGCACAATGTGTGAAGCCCATTTCTGGTGTCCCCCGCCGTGATGTTGCTGGAATATTGCTAAAAGCGGCGTAAAACCGGCGTCAGTCAGTCAGTATCATATTAATTCAAACATTTTTCTTTGGTTCCGATCTCCGGAAAGGTTTTCTTGTTCCAATTTTCGGATGAGGAAATTTATCCCCCGGTGTTATGTATGTTTCCGAAGCAAATCGACCTGATCTACGTCATAACTCAACTTAAAGATTAATACAAAATGATCTGCATTTTACAATTTCATCAAAATAAGTTATACAATTAGAGAAAAACGTCTATTTCCATATTTTATGTTAATTTTGTGACTATGTGGTAAGAGGTGAATATGCTTGTGCTAAGAAGTGACTAAGCTTGTCGTAAGAGGCAACAATGCCTGTTTAAACAGGTGGACATGCTAGGCGGTGACCATGCTTGTCGGGTGATGTTTCGGTGTATAAGTGATAAACAAATACTAACTTTTGGAATGAAATCGAATGAAATTTCCTCAGCTTGTGTTTCAATCACAGTTACAGGGTCACTAACAGACTAACACTTACCCCGAAAATAGGTCATTTTGATAGAAACATAAACAACTACCGTACAAATAAAAATGAGTCCCAGTGAGATTCAGAGCCTGTGGAAAATCTAGACTAGCTTCATATAGACTGTTGCATTACAGTAACGGTTGGAAGGGAAGGTCAAATAACACCGTTTAGGGTCAGAGGGAGCAGATCGAGTCACTGACTACATGGTAATTTAAATAAATGCCGTATATTTACAATTAAGGGACCGACCAGTGTTTATTCTCACTGCCGTTATTTTTTGTTCCAAATAACATAATTGAGCACCGGATTCTTGAACAAATACAAGGTTTTGGTCTTCAATGCATGGTTTGATTATCCCTCAAAAATATATTTTTTGGATTGGAAGCAATATCCGAAAAGTTCAAATTCAGAATACAAAATTAGTAAATAACCTGTCCCTATGATACCGTTAATCTACCGATTAAAGCTATTGTTAGAAGCGCCAGTAAAATCCTTTCCCTCGCTAACTGGGTCAGTGACCCAGTGACCGAATTCCTGTTGCTGTCCCACATGAACATACCACTATACAGATTCACTTATTAATTGATAAAACTACTAACACAGGAATCGATGGATACATTCCCTAATATAATAACACAGATAAACACAGCAAAACCGAAACTGTGACCTCTAGATTACGTGTGGTTTAATTTTAGATATAATGAATCGATCCGGGATGAAGTAATGCGGTGTACTCCATTTCGTTTTTATATATTTGACAATATCCTCCAACATCCTACTTGGCTCTAAAGAAATTGAAGAGTGAAATTATTAACTTATTACCTTGCCGTGTGTCCCGGCCCAACTCGTGGCTGCACTGTGTCAATAGTGCAGGGGAGGTAACTCTGTCCACCTTATTCCCTATTAAGTAATCATAAAATGGTTGCGTACATGTGTGTGTGTGTCGTTACTGTCGCATATTGTAATCTATTCTCATCCATACAATTTCATACACGATCAAAGAATAGGTTATACATGTATTCTGTTTACTAATCGTTAAAGCAAATTAATCTGTGGGGAATTCCAGCGGTCGATAAGTAGATGTTCCCGCTGCTTACGCAACAGGCCAATTATAGCGCATCGGTTACTTGAACCACTGGGATACCTGGAGTTACGTCCCTTTGGTAATAATTTCCATTGTCAATGTTCGTCATGGGCGATATCCATGCTCTTTTGCTCAATCATATAAAGATCAACATCTTTTTATGATTTTTTTCCAAACTTATTTGTAGTCATATTTTAATTGCAAACATGCAATATGAGTTGGATTTACTCTTCCATGCCACAACCCTTCTTTATGCAGCTCTGAAGCTGTTCCAGAAACCTGTAAGCGAGGGTTTGAATCCCGTTTCGCCTTTGTTTTGTTTCTGGTTTTGTCATACCCGTGTTCGTTGGTCTTACTAGTGTGGTCTTACCAGCTGCAGTCTGCATCACTTCAAGAGAACGGACAGAACATTTTGGCAGCAAATGCCGTGTACGATATATGGTACATTTAGCTTTGTTATTAAAGACACTGCAATATTTCAGCTATTATTTTGCGGAATGTGATTAATCGAGTCTGAACCAGACCAGCCAGTGATTGATATTATGAGCATTTTACATATTTGATTTCATATAAATCATTAAAATAATTTAATTGTGTATACGAAACTTTTTTCATTTCAATTACGGACGTTTTAATTCGTCAATGATTATTTTAATATGGATTTCAGGTAAAAAACTAGCATTAGTAACTTTCACTTGAAACCTGCGTTGTGTTGTAATTGCATCAGTTAAGCAAGGGATGTACAGAGTATGGATAGAGAGGCATGTATGTAAAAGCTGGGAAGTGTACAGTTGATTGGATTAGGGTAGAGTGTAAAGTACAGATTTTAAAAAAAGACTTAACTTGATCATGACTTTTACACACCTCCATCTTACCATCAACTCATCAAAGATTCTCAACAGTCATGATCCTTTGCTGCGGTGGGGTAGCCTAGTGGTTAAAGCCGGAGGCCCGGGCAACCCACAAGATATCGTTCCTCCAGTGGGGCGGCTGGGTAGCCTAGTGGTTAAAGCGTTCGCCTGTCACGCTGAAGATCCAGGTTCGATACCCAACAAGGGTACAGTGTGTGAAGCCCATTCTGGTGTCCCCCGGAGTGACAGTGCTGGAATACTGCTAAAAACGGCGTAAAACCATACTCACTCACTCATGATCCTTTTGTTTTTTGTACAGGCTTCACCTGTTAGTGTTTTACACTGATCTCACCCTATTGTGTGGTCTAGCGGAGTCCTAATCCAATGATCTGTAAAGCCATATCCTCATATTTGTAAAAATGTCTCTCTATCCATGCTCTCCTCATCACTAGCTTGATAACGGAGTTAGACCCCAAACCGAAACGTCGCTCTTATTGTAATAAAGAACGTGATCATTTATATATCTTAACTTTCCTCATCCTCGATAATCTCCAGGGTATACGTTACGATAACCCTCCACTATATGGAACTTTCCCTAGTACGCCAACTTCTAAATGACTCTCCTAGAAGGAATTTAGAGGACAGAATTTCAAAAGGATAGCACATGGTAAAGCGGTCATCACTCTTTTGTAATGGACACTGGTCCCATATATAGAATAAACCTCATTTATTTTAGACGGTGAATATGTAATGATGTCATCGTCTTTATTATGAAGAACACTACGTTTTGAATATATTTTTACTCCTTATCAGGTGAATGGTTATGGAAGACTGACTGACTGAGTTTTGGTTTTACGCCGCTTTTAGCAATATTCCAGCAACAGCACGGCGGGGGACACCAGAAATGGGCTTCACACATTGTAACCATGTGGGGATTCGAACCCGGGTCTTCGGCGTGACGAGCCAACGCTTTAACCATTAGGCTACCCCACCGCCCCGGTTATGGAAGATAGTGAAGGAGTAAGAATATACTCCGAAACGTCGTGTTACTCACAATTAAGAAGTTGATATCTGTACATGTTCACCACTTATGTGTGTCACCTCTGGTGGAGTAGCCTAGTGATTAAGCGTCCGCTCGTCACGCCGAAGACCCGGGTTTGATTCCCCACATGGGTACAAAGTGTGAAGCCCATTTCTGGTGTCCCCCGCCGTGATATTGCTGGAATATTGCTAAAAGCGGCGTAAAACCATACTTACTCATTCACTCTTAATTCCGTTCAAATACTTTAACATGTATTTGATTGAATTTGACTGAATTATAATTTATCGTCGGATTGTTTGTCATATTTAGTGTGTCAAGGATCACCAAAAGCTGTTTATTCCTATTAACGGCCTTAGAATTAAGTACGCACCCCCAATTCGTATCCGTCAGTTCCATATAAGCGTGTTCGTTAGAAAAACTGTATTGTTATTCGTTAATTTCTACAATGGTATATCTTGAACAACTTAGCGGTTTGATTGTTTAACGAGAACATCGATACAACAGTGCAGAAACAACAGCTATCGTTTATCTATCAACGCAATAAGTATGCGATGGAGCCAGTGTAGATATTGTCCAAAACAGACGTTGTAATTACCTGCCCATTATTATGGCTTGTCAATGCGTTTGAATGGGTGATCGATAAAAGCCTCGTCAGGCAAGAAACTGGAGTTACCTCCCTTAGTGCGTCGAAGCTTTTCGTGACAATGACAATTTTCGTGACAAACAAAGTAACGACGCATTGAATCACTTATTGAACTAGATGCTATCTTCGAAAAATGAGGATATATTTAAAAGCAAAACGGGTGCGGAACAAAATGATTAACAAGAACAGGGACGTAAACCGAAAGCGACACACGGCTATATATACTAGCCACATAAAGAAACTGTGCACTGTCAAAATATTATCCCAGTTGATAAGTACGATAAAAATGTCAAAGGTACATATAAACTTTAATGGAGGGATCATGAGACCATAACAAGTCGGGAGAATTTCAATTGAAAAGTCAATCACAATGACGTCACGAGTCCACAAGCGGGACAGGGGTCAAAGGACCATTTCACAAGCTCACTAACGAGTATGTCCACCATCGGCATTGAGAAAAGCAGTGCAGCGACGACGCATAGAGCCTATTAAACGTGCAAGGAAGGCTTGTGGGATGTCACGCCAGATTCTCTCAAGTTCTGTTGCAAGGTCAAGGACGTTATCTGGCGGATGAGGAAGACGGCGTAGACGTCGATCCATCTCGTCCCAAACATGCTCTATCGGGGAGAGATCCGGTGAATTTGCAGGCCAAGGCAGTAAGTCAACGTTGTGGTGTTGCAAGAAATCCATAGCAATCCTTGCCGTATGAGGGCGGGCATTGTCCTGTTGGAATGTTAACCCAGGGCCATGACGTTGCAGAAAAGGAATTGCCACAGGTCGAAGAATCTGATCCCTGAAGCCCACACCAGTTCAGTTGCCCTGAACAATCACCAAAGGAGTTCTTTGGCGTGCTGTTATTCCACCCCAAATCATCACGGAACCACCACCAAAGCGATTCCTCTCCAAGACACAGGCCTGTGAATAACGTTCTCCCACGCGTCTATAGGCACGTTGACATCCATCACTATGGGAAATGTTAAACCTGGACTCATCTGTGAAAATAACATTTCTCCACCAAAAGAAGGGTCTGCGGACATGATTTCGGCACCACATTCGGCGAGCTTGTCGATGACGTTGTGTCAGGATAGGCCATATGGCGGGACGTCGTGGTCTGATCCCGTGATGACGTAAACGTTGTCGAACTGTGTTGGGATGGATACGGCGAAGTCCTGGGATGGTTCGGGCAGTCATCACTGGAGTCTGAAACCTGTGGCGCAGATGGGTCACCCTTATCCATCTGTCCTGTCTTGGCGTTGTTACACGTGGCCGATCGATGACGTCATTTGTGTTCTGGTAGCGTCTCACCGGTGCAGAAATGGTGTTCCGGTGGCAGTGGAAATGTGCAGCCACTTGTCGTTGAGACATTCCCCCCACGGGCCATCCCAATGGCCTCATGACGTTGTGCAGACGTGAGCCTTGGCATGCTATGCGTTTCAATAGCCGTTTAATTTTTGAACGATCGCAAGGGCAGGGGTTGAGCTTTCCAAAGTGACAGTATTGTGTGGCATTCATTTGCTCTGTTTCTCTTTCCCGGAATGCACGTGCAACAACGTATTGCACGTCTCAAGGATGAACCCACTGACGTCAGGGACGTGGCACGTGCATGTGCATCCTTATGTGTCTACACAGGTTTGATAAATTTATATTTTAAATTTCTGAATGCACAGTTTCTTTATGTGCCTAGTATATATATATATATCCATAGCCGATCTTCTTATACATGCATATAATTATGCATATGCATATGTGTGTGAGGTTTACCAAGTTTGATGAGATCCAGGACGGACACATTCTCGATAATCTCCAGGGTATACGTTCCGATAAATCTCCACTAAACCCTGGATGCATCTTCGGCTCGGCCCCTTTTTATCTAATCAGGTGTCTACGCTGGCAAGTTGAGCGTACCAATCACAACTCACTTTCGCTTCTTTTTATCAACCGATCAAACCGAAACATAAGTCTCATTAACCTATTCAGACAATGACCTACTTTTCAGCCGATCTGAATTTTCTCGTGTGAAAGTGAAAAGAGACACCACAAACAACTATGGTTACACTAAATTCCAATTCCTTCTTTCATAAGAAAATGGTTTTTACAAGTTAATTTTAATTTCAAACTTTAATAACATCGTATTTCTATATTTTATGGCGAGGTGTAGGCAGCATGACCTTAACTAAGACGTCACAGACTGCCCCTGTTTGACGAGGTCGTAAAATGATTCATAATTCATCTGGCTCACGTGTGTTCCTTGTGCTTATTCAGTGTAGTTTTGTAACGCACAATGTGATTGATATTATATCAAGTCCGTACCAGACCGCCAAACTTTTCTAGCGGCAGAGCCTCGTTTTGAGATTTTCACGATTTCCGTCTGTCAGAGGACGCTGTACGACAGAGCACGCTACACGACGAGTTTGTAAGGATTAGAAGGAGCGTAGTGTTGCAATATACAAGTGCTTAGATGTATCCAATATTTATGTATCCAGTTGAATGAATTGGTCTCAAAACTCTGGACTGGTTATTGTACTATGTTGCGCAATAGGACGAAACCTAGTCAGCAGGAAACGAGACTGTTGTGCAATCAATGTTTTGACTTGAAACTTGGCAACATAATAGTTGCAGAGGTACTCTGAAAGTGGTAGAAAGAGTTCTTGCATATATTTTTCAAGGTTTCAGACCTGCCAGTGTGTCTGTATGAATCCCCCCCCAAAATCTAAGTCGCACTGCAAACAAACCTTCGCGGCTGCGACCGTTATCTTTGTTGACACTGGCAAGCTTGGTTGTAACGGCGTCTTAGCTGATTGGCTACTGTGAGAATGCGGAGCCAGCAAAGGGAGGTAATACAATTATCGGCTCGAGCCGTAAATGCATCCAGGGTATAGTGGAGTTTTATCGTAACGTAAACCCTTGAGATTATAGAGGATGGGACGGACACGTATCCTGTTAAACCACACCTGTCGTTAAAAAGAAAGGATTCACATGAAAACCTCATTTTACTACAACATTAAAACCGTTATCAAAACGTTTCTAGACTGAAAACAGTCGCCTAGACATTGCAAACGTAAGTTCCAAACCTTTAATAACTGCATCGAATAAACATTTCTAAAATGTCCTATTTTCGCCAGCGTCTAACGTGGGCGTGTCCTTTCATAATTATAATATTTATGACGAACGTAGGATTCAACTTGAATGGTTAAAGATAACACTGGACATTAAATACAACATTCTGAAAATAAATTAAAATATGTAAAACAAAAAGACATATGACGTTTCCTAATGTTTTATTCAATAACATTTACATCATGGACCGTTAGTATACAAAACATACATACATTACAGAAACAGATTCTCCATCATCGATTCACCTTCATTATAAAGAACATGTAATTGTAATATTTAAGCTCAATTACCTAAAACACTGTTACAGAAGATGGACCTCCACAACATTTTCTTCTTTCAATGAAATTATGAAAGCAGCGGGTTTACAAAAAAGCATTTCCACACAGCACTGCTTGCTAAGTTAACTGTTTCACATTGGCCTTTTGGCCAGTCGCAATCGGTAAAAAATATACTTAATTTTAAAAAAAATTAATTATAGATACGACACATATTACATATCGGCTGTGTTGTTTTGTCTAATGATAACCAAATTAATGAGGGTAAATTCATGTGTAAAAATATTTTTCTTATATAATGCATTAGCAACATCACATTCCTAAAAGAATTTTCAAAAACACAAAGAAGCAATTTACGCATATGAAGCATATCAGGCATCCAATTTCATGAATAATGTTAAATCATTGTTTCCACAAAATTCCATCCCACGTAAGGTAACCTTATCTGTGACTTAAGGGCGGATAGATAGTGCATATTACATATGATCGGTTTATACACTGTAATACCTCCAAGTGAGTATATACAAAATGCCATTGTATACATAGAGAGACGAAGGTCGTCCAGTGAAATTTAAAGGCACCATATCATTTGTACATACATCAGGAAGTAGGAAACAATGTCAATGAGTATTAAATATTTCAAACATTACCGTTATCGTCAAATCGCCATTGGCAACCATTATAACGGTACTCATAGTGCCATTAGTGAGATCAGAAAGAACTTAATATCAGGGACGTGCTCTACTGCTTTAACTTGTTAAGAAAACGTAAGTAATGCTCCTTCGCAACTCTGGCTTAATCATATTCTTATGTAATATATGTATACCATCATATACCCGTGTTTCTGTCTAAGTGTGGATGCTGTTGTATTTTGCTGTACATAGCGGAGTCAAAATATATGGAAGACCCCTTGTGCCATTTTCAACGCGCCTATGGATATTTTGGCAATGGCGGTTCTTCCATATTATCGTCCCAATGCAACTAAGTGGAGGTGTATACCTGTCGCCCATGTTTGGCCACGTATATTACCAGTTGATTAATGGTTCCTATGGATTGTCTCAGATTCTTTAAGCCCTAAAACTATCCGGTCAGCGTTGTTGGAATCAATAAATTCTGTATAGGTAATCCATGGATACAGTATCCGGGATAAACTGTTGCCTTTTCAAATATATTTTATCGTGGAATTAGGGATTAAACCTACTCACCAGATCGTCCAATGGATGAAGGAAAACCCAGGACTTCACTCCTAAGAGAGACGAAATTCAACATTGTGGACCATTTGCACAAAGTGACCTGAGGCTTAATGTGGTAACACTCCCTCCTGTGGCCCTAACACTAAGATCGTTTTGTGTACGTGGGTCTTTTACGTACAATCCTGAAATATTGTCACGATAATATCAATATTTTTGCCTCTATGTATGCTTTAGCAAGAATGCTTAGCAACCGATCCCTAGCAACACCAGGTGTCCATCCACCGTCAGTCAACTGCAGTACGAGAAAGTCCAATAGCATGGGCTTAAGACCTGACTACCTACCATTCAGATACAGAAGCATATATTTAGAGGCAAAAAAAATCTTGATTTCTTTATCCAAGATTGTAAAGGATCTTCAGATTTTTTTCAAAGATTGTACCTCACAGACGTGGGCCTCGTTCTACAAGACCATCTTACCGCTAACTCTCACTCTTTAACACGGACAATCTTATCAGAATCTACCGGGCGACCAACACTCCGGGAACCTCATGGTCTGAATGTATAGTTCTTACAAAAGACTTTACGACTTCGGATGAGTTATATATACCCAGCGCTTTATCACATCAAATTTCAAAATGAAAATAAGATAGATTTTAGATCGTTAGAATTTTAGAAAAAGCAACAGCACCAGTCCTTTACAAAACAACAGCATGTTTCGCGACTGCCACACTTTGCACTGACAATGTGATGGACGAAGGAGAGTTACGAATGCGTTTACACTCACAATAATGATAACATCAGTCTCAAAGGAAAATATTTCAAATTTCCACGCCCAAGGACGCCATGTTACAGCTTCCCACGTTGGCTTGTGCCCACTGAGACGAGTTGTTGACACCTTTAAGAACCAGTGCCCCGTTCCTCAAAGCGATCGTACCGCTACGACAGTCGTACGTCTATGTTAACGTATGGAGTTACGATCATCTTCGCGCTACTATCGCTTTGTGGAACGGGGCCCTGGGTCACGATCCACAAAGCGTTCGTAACTTTACGACCTGTCGTAACTATATAGTTTATCATGGGCTAACGATTGTCATAGCGCTACGAACTCTTTGTGGTTCCGTACCGAGGAAGATATGTTCTGTATCCGGAACCTTTGATAGGTACCAGGAACATTAGATCGGCATCAGGAACATTACATGGGTATCAGGAACATTTGAGCGGCACTAAGAAACTGTTATTGACGTCAGGAACATTCGATGGGCACTAGGAACCTGTTAACATCAGGAACAGGTGATGGTCAACATGAACATTTGATCAGTACCAAGAATAGTTGAACAGGTTTCTTCTGGACATTTCAGAGAGCTTTCTTTTCCATGGATCATATGCAATATGTCAACTGACTGGGTCTCGCTCCCAAACACGGTGTCTCCAAGCTCCGTGTCCGCAGAACAAGTACGTTTTGCACCCTAGCATGTGTGTTGTCATAGCAACACTCATGACTCGGTAAGATTTACAAAAAATAATTTGAGGATGACATCTTTTAATGCAAATAGAATACTATTTTGGTAGGACTTGTAATTCCCAAGTATAATGACTGAAGGCCTACATTCAGTGCCAAACTTCTGTACATGCATGTACACATTGCCTTAATCCCGTTTAATATGAAGAACACAAACTTCATAACAGTAATCGAGTCCCTCCTCCCACAGTATTTTTATCTGCCTCTATCTGTCTACATCTGTTCTCACTAAAACCCTACCCACAGTAATGTCATTTTAGTGAGTGAGTGAGTGAGTTTAGTTTAAGCCACTTTTAGCAATATTCCAACAATATCCGGGGACACCGGAAATGGGCTTCAAACATTGTACCTATGTGGGGAATCGAACCTGGGTTCTCGGCGTGACGAGCGAACGCTTAACCACAAGGCTACCCCACCGCCCTTAATGTCATTTTAATGTCGAACATGATATTAGGTGACTTCACAGGTCAGTCTGAACAACATAAAATAACCATATTCTCAGATGAAAAAACAGAGATTAGTAAACATGTCTTGAATAATTCAGTTTGCCTTGTGCTAACTGACTGGAAACATTTCCTACAAGTTCATCTTCGTCAGATCTCTGCAGTCGTGTGTACGTGCACTCTACCGACGTGTGAGCTTCGGTTCCAAATGTGGTACACTTTCTTCAGGCAATACCTCTGTCATTTTCATGTCCGATGACGTCATGATGACGTCATGATGATGTCATTTCACGATCACTTACAACCAGAATGAATGTAGAGTTTCTTTCAGAGTTTGGCATCTTTCATTTCTTCTTTTATATGCTCCATGGGATCACGTGATCCTGTGTTTGAGTCCTTTAACGAATCACTGAACACGCCACCCGATGACGTCACACACGGGGTCATCAAGGGCTTCAGTTGACCTGTGACCTTGTCCCGCACGAGCTGAGCCCCCTTTGCCCTTTTCCACTTCATCCGTCGATTTTGAAACCACACCTTCACCTAGAATACAATGAAACAACAGTTTTCACCCTTTTAGGCCACTTCATCCGTCGATTTTGAAACCACACCTTCACCTAGAATACAATGAAACAACAGTTATGTGGTTGTGTGAGTGAGTGACTTTAGTTTTACGCCGCACTCAGCAATATTCCAGCTATATGGCGGCTGTCTTCAAATAATCGAGTCTGGACCAGACAATCCAGTGATCAACAGCATGAACATCCATCTACGCAACTGGGATACGATGTGTCAACCGATTCAGCGAGCCTCACCACCCGTTAGTTGCCTCTTAAGACAAGCTTGGGTTACTGAAGATATATTCTAACCCTGATCTTCATGGGTGTGGACACAAGAAATGGCTCCACAACAAAACTAGCGCAAGACAACAAAAATAGGTGTGCCAAATATATAATAGGTCTAAACCCCTTTTCGCCTAAATTAATATTTATCATGTATGTTAGTTTTACCTGTCTGTTGTTTAAGGCCACACTCTGCAATATTACAAGTATGTGATCCAGTGATCAACAGCATGAACATCTGGGATACGATGACATGTGCCACCCATTAGTGAGTGAGTGAGTTTAGTATTACGCCGCACTCAGCAATATTCCAGCTATATGGCGGCGGTCTGTAAATAATCGAGTCTGGACCAGACAATCCAGTGATCAACAGCATGAGCATCATCTGCGCAATTGGGAACCGATGACACGCGTCAACCAAGTCAGCGAGCCTGACCACCCGATCCCGTTAGTCGCCTCTTACGACAAGCATGGGTTACTGAAGATCAATATTCTAACCCGGACCGCCTCCCATCAGTAGCCTCTCACACATAAAATACGGATATTCTTCAGTCCTGGAGATGAGAGAAGCCAATGACAACATGAACATCAATAATGGCAGTCGTGATACTATGACATGCTTCAACCAAGTCAACAACCCGGGGCTGATGAAGATCAGTTCTACCTCGATTCGCGGGGAGATACGTTAGAATCTACCAGTTGGTGGATGCCCCGTTTGCAGTGTCTCAGGTTCACTGGTGAGGTTTAATTAAAATGTCTAGAACTACAAATAACATACTTTAACACAGACTTAAAAGGTCATAGCGCTAAGATCGTTTTATGCAAACTGGCACGAAAACCAACACGTTGCTTATTCGACACCATCAGCCTGATATACAGACCCTGAAACAAATATATCCACAAAAGCCAATGCAAGTCTAGCTTACTGAAAATGAAGAAAGTCCCTGGGCTCCTTTCCTTTATATTTTATGATTATACTTGTCAGGGGCGGATACAGCTTTTTGAAAAAGGGGGGGTGCACACTATTGAGGAAAGGAGGGGTGCACACTGCATTTTCACCTGAGTTGCATTGGTCATTTAACAAACTTTCAGCACAAAAGGGGGGTGCGCACCCCTGCACACCCCCTCTGGATCCCCCTATGCTTGTGACCCGTTTTGTTTCTGTAAAATATGATCATTTCAGAGACTAGATGTTAGTCTTACCATCACCCTGTTCTCAGAAGTAGACTAAGCAAGGGAGACAATGCTCTTCGGCCCAGTTAAAGAGAAGGCTTGAGTCTTACCTTAGAACCATCTCACCATGATGCGTGGAACGTTCACATCGTCCACGTTTAGTTATATGTGTACAGGCCTAGGTCATGTAGAACCGCCACAAACCAAACAAAAATAGTCCTGTGCATAAGCGGATCCAGAGGGGGGTGCAGGGTTGCGCGCGTATCTGCCCCTGCCTGTGATTACCGCCATGCACCGGCGGGTGAGCGTCAAGTATACGTAGCGCATATACTGTTAGAATCGCTCGTAAAATAACCTCCTCGCAAACAAACCGCGATTAAGAGACCAGGGCCTAGATTTTCGAAGCTCTCTTAGAGCTAAGACAGTCGTAAGTACCATACATTAACTTACGACCCTCTTAGCGCTAAGAGAGCTTCTAAAATCTAGGCCCTGGGTCTAGATTTCGAAGCGCTAAGATAGCCGGAAGTGCCATACATTAACATTAACTTACGACTATCTTAGCGCTAAGAGAGCTTCGAAAATCTAGACCCAGGGCCCCGATCCACAAAGCGTTCGAAACGTTACGACCTGTCGTAACTCTATAGTTTATCATAGGCATACGGATGTCGTAGCGCTATGAACGTTTTGTGGATCGGGGACAAACTATAGCTCAGTTTGATTATTATATAATTTTGATCGGTAACAAATGATATCATTTAAACTGAAAAGAAGCCCTATTGAGATGCAAGTGGAAAATCTGCAATTGCTTCATTTACAGTAGGACTGGTGGAAGCGAATGTACCGCGGTTCAGGGTCGGTGAGACTACCAGAGACAACTGTTGGATGTCCAAATGTGTCACTGGATATTCCTGATTAGGGGAATAACTCGCTGCTTAAAGTTTTTATCCGCAGTAATCATTATTAGCAAAACGATACTTCACTAGCAGCAACCCATTAAAGCGAATATTATATTCGGATTTCAAGGATTGTAGATATCGCAATGAATGGATCCCACTTCGGTCGGGCAATGCATATGGTAAACGACACTTGAAGTTGGTTTTATTTGTTCGAAGAAAGTGCGTGTGAGGAATGAACCTATTAAACATTTATTTCAATCTAAATTAAGATATACTTTCAAAATGTGTCTGATCGTCAACACATCATTTAAAGTAGGCGGTGGGGTAGCCCAATGGTTAAAGTGTTCGCTCGTCACGTCGAAGACCCAGGTTCGAATCCCCACATGGGTACAATGTGTGAAGCCCATTTCTGGTGTCCCCCGCCCCCCGCCGTGATGTTGCTGGAATATTGCTTAAAGTGGCGTAAAACCCAACTCACTCACTCACTCATTTAAAGTAAATCTTCTGATAGGATTGGTTGTTTCCGTTTGAATAATTAAACACGTTTCACATTTTATACTTTCCAATACTCATTTTATCATATTCACATGCAAACTATATTCTCTATATTTCCCTGAAATCAACCACTTCTGTCGTGAAACATCACAAACTACTGAAGACAATTATCTTTTGAAAAGATTGTTCGTAAACTACATTTTTTAACAAGTATAGTTTTAAAGGAACATTACTTCTAGGATCGGGGGGTCCGACATGTCATCGTATCCAAGTTGTGTAGATGGATGCTCATGCTGTTGACCACTGGATTGTCTGGACGAGACTTGATTATTTACAGACCGCCGCCGGAATATTGCTGAGTGTGGCGTTAAACAACAAACCAACCCAAAACTTGAAACAAAACGGGAATCTAAAGTTGGGACAAAACAATGAAACTGTTTCCCGTTTTAAAACCAACCGGCCGTGTCTAAAACATTTGTTACAAGAGAAGTTACACGGTAGCTGATAATCTGAACAGCCAGGTGAACTAGCAAGCCTCCCCCCCCCCCCAAGTTCAGGTATCAATAACTAAGTGACAAATCATCAGAGTTGGTCTGTCGATTTTGTGTGACTGAACAAAATTTGGTTTTGTTGGATTAATTAGATTTTGAGTCGGTGAGCAATTCATCGGTCTCAAATGAAATTAAACGGACTGTAAGAGTTATGTGTGGACATATAAGTGTTTCATTGCAAAACAGATCTGAACAAATGTTGTACTATGTGTGTTGAGTCGGACACGAAAGGTTACTCAAAACACTTTATTTCAGCGTCATGATGTCTATACAAAAGTTGTAGAGTGCAGAGTACAGTCCGAGGTTTTTAGCATCGTAGCTTAGTGTATAACCGCAAGAAGTAACCACGGGTCTTACATAATCTAAACTAGGCGAGGGTTCGGCTCATTAAACAACCGAATTGGCGTCACTCTATCGAATTTGTTCCGAATTTATCTCTCAAATTACGATAAGATAGCAATGATTAATTAAAACAACTGTATCGCAAGATAGAAATAAAAGCAGGATACTGAATCAGGGTTACGCCAACAGATAGGAACGACAAATTACGATCTGCTTCAATATTACTTAAGGGGAAGGTATATTCTCTCGCCACATAAACAGATAATCACATATAGAGATTGCAGCGTAATTGCGATGAGATTTTAACCTAGAGAGTTCTTTGTAGACGCGAACAAGTCGCGCTTTAGTTCAGTGAACTAGGACGGTCAGTGAACTAGGATCGGTATACGTTGAAGCTGTGCAATATTCTTCATGTGGTTTATCGAGATATGCGTGATATCGAACCCGTAAGTGAGTGAGTTTAACCTCTAGAGTTGTGAACCTTTTGCAATATTCCTCAATATCACCAACTTTTTTGGGGACACCAACGACGTAATGGTCAATGCTTCAAGCATTTCAGTTTTCGTACCCAAAACCCGGGTTCGATTCTCCACATTCATCAACAATATCATCATATATAAATAGAACCCGGTGAGTCTTCGGCGTGACGAGCGAACGCTTTTAACCCATCAAGGCTAAAAATCTATATAATACAAAACACATAAATTAACACATATGAAGGTAAGTGAAGACTGTAGTCTGTTTTTAATCCCTTGAATATACAATCCTAAATTATTTGTAAAATCAATTTAAAACAGATTCAAACGGCTGACGTATGTTATTCATTACTTCAAAGAAATATAGTTTGCCGGGAAGAATCCCATTGCATTTTAATGTGTGTCTACAGTTAAAGGATGCTGGGTCAGATGTGACTATTTACCATCTGCCAACATCCAGCAGCGGTTGTATTCTCCTCGGGGAGCTGAGAACAATCAGGCGAGAGCAGGGGGCGGTGGGGTAGCCTAGTAGTTAAGGCGTTCCGGGTTCGATTCCCCATATAAGCACAATGTGTGAAGCCCATTTCTGGCGTCCCCCGCCGTGATGTTGCTGAAAGGCGGCGAAAAACTAAACTCACTCACTCGAGAGCACGCTCCTTAACTGACCGTGGTAATAATAATGCAGCACTTCGAGCATACATTGCATATGGCGTTGTGGCTTTTCAACTGGATTATTGTTATTATTTGTAGTACTTTGCTATTTTGGGA